ACAAGCTCACCGCATTCGTCGCCGCCAGCCTTGAGATTCATCTTGCCAGGGGCCGATACGCCGAAACGAACGTTGCCAGCAGTAGGGTCTTGAGGGGCGGTCGAGTCCTCGATGGTGTATGTCCCAATGCCGGGGATCCACGCACCACGGGCAATCATCTTACCCTGAGTCAGCGTTCCAGTCTTGTCAGAGCAAATGTCTGTGACGCCGCCAAGAGCTTCGAGTGACTTGAGGTTTCGGACAATGACGTGGCGCTGGACCATAGACTTTGTGCCAGCAGCCATTGTGATGGTCAGCACCACGACCAGACTGGCTGGAATCATAGACAACCCGGTTGCGACGGCATAGATGATGACTTCTTGACGATTGCTAAACTTGTTGGCTGCTAGGACAATTATGGCGCAGATGACGGCAATGAAGAAGAGCAAGACAGCGAGCTTGGACAGCTTCTTCTGCAAGGGAGTTCCAACATTGAGTCCCAGGAATCGTCCAATGGCGTCGGTTGTGGTGAGCGTGTATGCCTCGAGATAGCGATGGGGCTTTGCCTTTCCATTCGGCTTGCGTTTGACTGGCCGAACCTTGGACTGTGTTTCGCGGAGCTGAGCAGCAATGGCGCCAATTTCAGTATAAGCGCCAGTCGCAAACACGATACCCTTGGCGCGACCCTTTGTGACGTTAGATGAGCTATAGGCGACGTTAAGGCGATCACCAGGCCCAGTAGCCTCGTCAAAAACGGCTTCTTCTTGCTTGCGTACAGGGAGGGACTCTCCAGTCAGCAAGGCCTCGTCGGTTTCGAAATTGACCGCATCAAAGACGCGCATGTCGGCTGGAATCGTGTCGCCGACCTTGACCTCAATGATATCGCCGGGAACGACTTCAGCCGAAGGAACGGTAATCTGCTGGCCATTGCGAATGAGGCGCGCAGTGGGAGAGCTGAGAGAGCGAAGCGAGTCCATGGTCTTTTCGGCCGACCATTCCTGGAAGAAGCCAACGACAATGTTGAGACCAATTACAAAGGCTACGACACCACCTTCGATCCACGACTTGATACCGAAACTGACGGCCATGGCCATGATCAGGACCAGCGTCATGGCGTTGGCCACTTGGGCGATGAGAATCTTGATGGGAGAGACGCTCTCAGCTTCTCCCAGCTCGTTAGTTCCGTACTCATCGACGCGGCGTTTGGCGTCGCTATCGTCCAGACCAGACCATTCCTCCGTCTTGAGCTCAGTGACGACTTCTTTGACAGTGAGGCTGTGGGCTGGTTTGGACATGGGCTTGTTCGCCTGTCCACTGACATGCCCCTCGAGAGAGGTAGCTTTCTTGCCCATGGTGCAAGTTTGAACGTTTGAACGTTTTGTGTTTTTGTGTTTTTTTTTGTTTTCTTGATATTCTTCTTTTGAAAAGGTTACGTGAACCGTTGATGACTTAGGGTGATTGCTTTGATACGGCTAACGAGACCAATCAGATTTGGAGAGTGCTCAGCGTCAACGCTCTAGTTTTGTGCGAATTCTTGCCCGGCGGACTATGGCCGCGTGGACAAACTTGGTGGATTGGGTGTTGAATGTAGTATACATAGAGAACTTCAGCACGGGGCGGGGGTGCAGACTCCTCCTATATCAATGCCGTGATTGGCAACTTGGGTAAGGTAGTAAACGAGTTGGGGTGGTAAGAGAGCTTGGGAAAGAGCTGGACTGTTGGAGAAGAGTTGAAGCAGACTTTGTGAGAGCAGGAAGTTAGGGAGAAAATTTAGGGAGCAGAGGAAAGAAAAAAGGCAAGAAGGCTACCAACATATATGCGGAGCAGTGGGGAAGCTCGGTGTACGACGTCGTGCCAAGCATGCCCGGTTCACGCCAAGGTCGATTCAGATGGAGGCGGATGCCAAGGCGAAAACTTCTCTCCATGCCTCAGTGTGCGGACAGCCATTGGGTGCCTGTCGCGATAGCAGATGCACGGCCGTACGTAACCTGGATGAACGGCATCTGGGCTCTTGGCTAGTGGGTCTACCTGCCTCTTGGACGTCTCCGGTGAGGGCTTTCCCGTCTCAGCTGTGGTTTGGCGAACGAGTGCGAGGAACATTTCGCGAGGCCAAGCTTTGGTGCAAGCACAAGCATCAAAAAGCCCACTGCAGGCTGCTATGTAGGCCGCCTGGGTGGAGGCTCCGTGGCGGGTTTCCATGGGCACAGAAGGTGGTGGTTGTGAGCAAGGCCGAAGAGCGTCAGTAGTCGCGAACAATCTCTCCGCCAACCGATGAAACCGGAAACCCCAGACCAAGCGGCTAGCCCACCAAAACGAGGCACCCTGCCTTTGCCATAAAACATGGCCACCATGATGATATCATTTCAAACCAATGCGCCATGAGACAAACGCGCTGACTCTGCATTTATTTACTGTACCAAGGTGCACATGTATCAAGTCGGATACTGCTGCTAAGTATACACCTGCAATGTTGCAATACCAAGACCGGCTTGAAGCGGCCTTCATACCGTCAGTGCTGGGCGATTTTACTTGCGCCTTCACTGGTTAGTAGCCAAGAGACAATGCAGGAAAAGAAACAGCCAAGGATTTTGCACCGGAACTGACTCGTAGCATACATAGAAATAAGTAGATCTTGCTCATCGCCTTCCCAGCTCAGCTGCACAATGGCACTCAACAGTGCCAGGTACTTACAGCTCCTCTCCTTGGCATGGCCTCGGTTACTCAAGCTAACAGTATTTGATTGGATGCTGAAAATCTACGCGATAACGCCTCTTACATACCGTGTATGGCACAACCCTGAGGTCAGAATGACTGCACACCGGACGTCCTATGTAGTATGCATGTATGTACACGTACATACATATGTAGCAACCACATGTATACAGACACCAATTCATCTTAGGTGAGTGATTAGGTACACAAATCTCGACGTGGATAGCAAAAACATACGACAGCGGAGATTCGCCAGTGGTGGGTCACCCACTTCACTACTAATCCATCGCTGAAACGTTTATTGTATGGGGAGGAGCACACGGCATCTGGATTGACTCTTTGCAACATTTCCTTTTGTTTTCGGTCCATCTATACTGCGATTGTGTGGGTCAAACATGGCTGCACACCGCCATTTCGAACTTCCCACGTTGATTACCCCAAATACATGTGCATTTGCCTTTCAGATATCCTCAGGTCCAGCAAGGCCCAACGCCTGCCTGCGTGTCGGCGCATCCGCCTTGAAAAACGGCTTCTCAGCCAATGACGTCACCCTGGTTCCGTGCCTCGGCTCACTTCCTTCATAATCCCAACTGGCGTTGTGGATAGTGATTCTGTTGTCCCAAAGCGCCGACGTTCCTGGCGTCCATCGGAAGCGCACTTGAATATCGACACTCTTCTCGTATACATCAAAGAGATAGTTGAGGATTACGTCACTCTCTGCCTTGTCCAATCCGACAATGCGTACGGTGAAGGCGCGGTTGACCCATAGTGCCTTCCATCCCGTGGCAGGATGCACGCGGACCAGCGGGTGAACTCGCTCAACGTGCTTTGGACCGGCGCTGGGGTTATCCCGTTCAAGATATGGGTGTGCGCTACGGTACACTGCCTCTCGGCCGTCGATAATCTTCCTGAACTCGGGAGACAGCTTCTCATAAGCGGCATAGCCTGAAGCCCAGAGAGTGTCCCCTCCAACCTTTGGGATGGTGTCGTTGTGCAGATGAGTTATACTAGTCTAGTTAGCCGGAGGATCATTGAATTTAGATCATTATCACATACCCGGCGGGTTGGCGTTCGTGCACCAAGTCAGTGTGCCACTGAGATGCTCCGCCTGTCTTCCTGAAGCTGGCAGGTACCTCCGTCGCCTGGAGATCGGGCCAAAGAACAGTTATTCCAGGTACGCCTGGGACGTGAGGAACTTGCGGCTTCACTGACTATCAGCATAATCAACTCCATGATGGGAAGGATGACATACGTGGACTTCGATTTCACCATAGTGTTCTCCAAGCTTCTTTTGCTGTTGAGGCGAGAGATCTTGGTCACGGAAGAACACAACGCTCCTCTCAGCAATCAAAAGACCAAGTTCGTCCTTCTGTTGTTCTGTAAGATCCTTCAATTGCAGTCCAACAATCTCAGTTCCAATGTGCGCCGTCAGATGAATGACTTTCTTTGCAGCACTGAGCAGTGCCTTCTTCTCTGGATCAGCTCGGGAGCCGGGGTCAATGTGTTCCCGATCATAGTCCCTGATCTTGTACACATCATCGAGGTAAAGTGGCTTCGCCGGCCTGTATGGATAACCGTTGGACAAATCGATGCCTGCTTTCTCAAGCCTCTTTCTGGCTGGCTCGGGCAGCTTCAATGTATCCTTTCTTGGCTGAACAGTGTCATTCTCTTTGATGTGTTCAGCAACGGGAATTGCGATTGGTGCCATGTTGATGATTGCTGTGACGAGGCTGAGTATGGCGAATGTTTCATGATACCATCACTTCTTATATCCAACCCGATTGCTTCCCCACACATTGTCTCCTCACAGCTTAGAAATACATTTCCTGTATCTATTGGATCTAGTCGGTTACATCGCGTGGTGGTTGCATGCTGGCGATGCCTATGGGTAGTTGCGGGGTCAATCACATCATTCAGGAGATAATGACGAATATCCAGTCAACATCTCCCACCTTATCTACTGGATGCCGCACCTGGTTCCTCAAACAAAAGTTGTGGGTACTTGCATTTGTTTCTAGTTTGGTGTGCCGGTGCCTCTTACAGGTTGTTCTCGCAATAGTGGGTGTTCATGATGCCATACATGTTCACCACTACGCTTTGCGAACCTTAACGCCTCTGTCATTGCGTGATCTATGCTGATAAATGCAATGTTGCACAATGGGAACAAAGAGCGCGGAGAATCGGAAATAATAAGGTTTGGCAGTGGTTCGTCTCGGGGCTGATCTGACCGTGGCCAATTGAGGAAATGCGCTCAACCATCGCGGAAAGCCCCAACGACGTCCTTATCTCACCTTAGCAAAATCTCCACTATGGCTCTCCCTTCGAAACGTGTCGCTGTGATCGGTGCAGGTATCAGTGGTGTCGTTGCTGCGGCCCACCTCAAGAAAGAAGACATCGATGTCACCGTCTTCGAGCGAAGTAGTGCTGCAGGAGGCATATGGTAGTTTTCCCAGTCATGCCAAAGTATACTGTCAACTTACCTCAAAGAAGGTTGTACGATGAGCGAAAGCCTCTTGAGCCATTATATTCAGCAGTGCCAATTTCGAAAACTGGCAGTACATATGCAAGTGAAGACGCGGAAGATGTGGAAAGGCGGATCCACGCACCACCAGGGCAAGTTCGGATGTTCGAACATTATGTATATTCCATGACTGACCGAACGTAGTCCATGCTATGTTGGCTTGAAAAACAACGTGAGCACCCGCTTACTGGAAACCACGTTGAACAGGTTTCCGGCTGGAACTGACGACTATGTAACGCACGATGTTTTGGCCGATTATATACAGAAAACCGCCATTGTGACAGGAGTGCACGAAGCCACAAAATATGATACGAACGTGAAAAATATCTGGAAAGATGGCAATTCATGGTCAGTCGAGACGACGATTCTGCAAACAGATAGTGCTGGTATAGAGAGGTGGAACACTTCTACTCAGGTAAGTGCTTCATTGATCATATAATCAATTATTCTAGTTAACATGAGTGTAGAAATTCGACGCTGTAGTCGTTGCTTCGGGGCATTACCACGCACCACGGGTTCCAGATACCCCTGGTCTGGTAGACTGGAAGAAGAGATGGCCAGATAGGGTAGAACACTCGAAGCGCTATAGAAAGCCCGAAAATGCCGAGAGAAAGGTATGTGTTGAATATGCTAAAGAAAGGATCCTTAGATCAAACCCAAACTAACGCGTTTGCAGAACTATCTGCTTGTCGGTGGAAGCGTCTCAGCAACGGATATTGCGCGTGAGCTCGGCCCGTATGCCAACAAAATCATCCAAAGCCAAAGAAACGGAAAATTTGATCTTCCTACTGTAATGCTTCCCGAAAATGCCTACCGAGTCGACGAGGTGGTGTCGTACGATGCGCCCAGCGCAGATGAATCGAAGCCATTAGGCCCCTCGGAAGCGATACTAGGCACAGTGACTCTCAAATCGGGCGAGAAACTCTGCGACATTCATCATGTCATACTTTGCACAGGCTACCACATCACATTGCCGTTTCTGCCTCAACTTCATTCGGACAACACGCCGGCCGACCAGGCAGACGATACAATGTTGGTGACTGATGGAACACAGTTCCACAACCTTCACAAGGACATCTTCTATATCAACGACCCTACAATTGTGTTTGTTGGCGTGCCTTTCTTCACTGCCACATTCACCTTGTTCGAGTTCCAAGCCATGGCCGTTGCCAAGGTGCTCTCTGGCCAGGCGAAACTTCCAAGCCAAGAAGCCATGCGATCCGAGTACAATGAGAGATTAAATACAAAAGGCTATGGCAAAGCATTTCACAGTCTACGGGAGCAAGAGGCAGACTACGTTAATGAGCTTTTAGCTTGGATCAATGCTGATTTGGAGAAGGCTGGCAGAGACAAACTCAATGGGCACAGCAGTCAATGGCACACTGCAAAGGCAGAAATCATGGCAAGGATGAAGGCGCTTTTCGCCACACCTGTCTTGCAAAAGAGACTCGAAGTAACATGTCTGTAGAATGAATTGTATCACGTGACTCTTAATATTCAACATCCCATCTACCCCAACTGACTCGTCAAAAAGCCACCACAAACGTCCAGACCCTCCTTCAATTGCCGTTACATCCATCTAAACATGCACTATCTGTTGAGGCAATACCGCAAAATCCAGGTCATACAAAATGCCTTATCTTTCTCCTCAGGCACGCCATCCAGCTACTCAATGACGCCAACATGTGACCAACACCACCCACGCCCGCACCATGCAACCACGGCGTCAATCCCACAAATTCACGCCAAAGAAAGAAAAGAAAGTAGCACAATTCGGATATCTTGACCCGAAGAGCAGGCCATGTGCAACCTGAGAAAATGTAACAGAGGGGGGGAGGTCATGTTTCTAGCTAGAATGGTTTCCCCACGCTCCATCCAAAACCCTTGTCAATGTCGCCATAACATCCCCAGTATGTCGCCTTTTCTTTTTGCCTCACGCCCTCGCATCGAAACACATGCAGCCCCCACCCCCCCGCTAGTTTCGCCAGCGGGCCGCGCCTGCCATGAGTTCTAGGCGGTAAATTGAAAGAAAAGCCAATGTTTCTTGCGAAAAGCTTGGTTAACTAACCCCCAAGTGTATACCTTGAAAGTAGCTTGATAAAAGCAAGAGTGGTTGCTTTTGCTTGTAATCAACCTGGGCTCTCCTTTTTTTTCTCTTCTTCTTTGCGTTGATATCCTAACGACTCTTACTTTGTTACACTCGTCCTGCGACTATGGGAGTCCCTCAAGATGTCTCGGCTACTTTGGTGCCTGCTACGTCTACCATCCGGTCTGACGAGGAAGTGACGGTCAAGCCGCATAAGTGGTATTATTACCTGTGGGATACGCTGGATAAGCCCAAGGAAGAGCGGTGGTTTATGTTTAAGCTCGATGCTGCGTTGTTGACTTTTGCGTCGTTGGGTATGTTACTTGCTTTGTCTCTATTTGCTTGGCTAAGACTCTGAACTAACTAACTGTTTTGGATAGGTTATTTCATCAAGTATCTTGACCAGATGAATATCAACAGTGCGTTTGTGTCTGGAATGTAGGCTGTGGAATTGTTTTCATATAGGGCGTCGCTTGCTAATATCTTTGCTAGGAAAGAGGATCTTGGGTTATATGGCAATCAGCTTAATTACATGCAGACGTGCTGGACGGTGGGATACGTTATTGGTGAGATTCCAAGTAACATCATCTTGACCCGTGTTCGACCGTCGATTTGGATTCCCACTATGGAGGTATGTTGGAACCATGCTCGTACAAGTCTCATATGCTAATAGTGCTAGCTCACATGGGCAGTCCTGACATTCTGTCTCTGTCGCGCCAAGAACGCAGAAACAATCTACGCTCTGCGTTTTCTCATCGGTAAGAACTAAATCACCACGACAAAGTAGTTCCTAGCTGAATTTACCTAGGCCTCGCCGAATCCACTTTCTATCCTGGCATGCAATACATAATTGGGTCGTGGTACCGCAAAGAAGAACTTGCTAAGCGCTCCTGCATCTTCCACACCAGTGGTGCAATTGCAACCATGTTCTCAGGCTACCTCATGTCCGGCGTCTACAGGCTCGACGGAAAGGGCGGCTTCAGAGGGTGGCAATGGCTCTTCATCGTCGACGGCATCATCTCCATCCCCATTGCTATCATGGGCTTCTTCTTTCTACCTGACCTCCCCGAAATCTCCAAACCCTTTTACTTGACAAAAGAGGAAGTGAAATTCGCACAGGAGCGCATGCAGCGCGAGGGCCGCCAAAAACGCCAACCGTATACTCGCGCTAAGATCTGGAAGATCTTTACATCCTGGCATATTTATGCTCTTGTGTTCCTCTACATCTTTTTCAACAACGGTAACTCGAGCGCGCAGCCTGTGTTCCAGCAGTTTCTCAAGTCGAGCAAGAATCCAAAGTATACTGTTACTCAGATTAATACGGTATATTCTTTTCTCCCCCCTTCATTCTTTGTGGAGATGTCAAAGGGCTAATTGAAATCCCACAGTACCCAACAGCCACCAACGCCGTGCAAGTCGTAACCACCCTCCTCTACGCCTGGACGAGCGACAGCATCCTTAAAGGCTCACGCTGGCAACCCATCGTCTTCGGTGGCTGCGTAAATATAATGTGCTATACCAGTCTAGCCATCTGGGATATACCCATCAAGTGGAAATGGGCCTGCTACATCCTCACCGGCTTCGGTGGCGGCATCTCGGGTCTCTGCTATGCATGGGCGCACGAAATATGCACGCATGACAACGAGGAGCGCGCCATTGTGGTTGCGTCGATGAACGAAATGGCGTATGTGGTTCAGGCGTGGTTGCCGCTTGTCGTGTGGAAGCAGGTGGAGCAGCCAAGGTACCACAAGGGCTTTATTACGGCGACGTGCTTGAGTTTTATGATGATCGTTACGGCGTTGATGACGCGCGAGCTGCATATGAGGGAGTTGGGGCAGAGGAGGAAGGCGCAGGAGGAGGTGTATGTTCCTCAGAGTAGTGCCGGGGGAGAGGAGGCGGGGTCGGATGTTGATGCGGATCTTATGTTTAGAAAAGGAACGTGAATGATGTTTGGTTTGGAAGCATGGTACTGAGCGATGTGTATAGTTGGTGGTTGGTAAAAATAGCGATGCTTCTGTTTGGTGAGTCTAAAATGAGAACACAGAGTGAACAGATAGATATCGTGATAATATGTGTGGTTTGTCTATTTCCCACTCTTCTTAAGCCAAAAGGAAGCGTTCAACTAATCACGTGACTATGTTCTTCACCCAAGGTCCCGAGATAGCTGCAGTCAGCAATCTGGGCCTCTGTGTTGAATCCATAGCAAGTGAGTATCAACGAGGAGATTCCGTACGCACAGACGTGATATTCAGTCCTCCTAGCTCCAGGGGCAAGCGGCTTGCACAATCATAGTACCAATGGCCAAAGCGCAGAAATAGTACAATACACAATCGTGATCGTAGCGTTGGAACCAATACATGGTAACAAGATATGCTCGTCTAAATTGGAATAGATTCAATAGCGCCAAAAAAGTGTTGTCCACAACAAAGGATAGCGTGTCTTGTTCGGGTCTAATCTAACATTTCGGGATGGGGTTCATCTACGTGGTATCCGGACTTTGGTTCTGCTGTGCATGATGGGCATGCTCCTAGGGCAAAGGGCAGGACTGGCAGTTATGCAGGCGAAGCTCCTAATCTCGCATGGCCCCGACTAGAGCCTCAGATTCCTCTTCGTCATCAACCATTTTCTCAGAGGCGTGTCGATATAGGACGTAGTGCTGCACCATGAAGATGACATCGAAGACGATGGTAATGTTCCCAAGGCCGAACTTGACTGGATTGCCAGTGACACCACTCCAGTCGTTTTCCAGCGCAGAGTCGATGCATAGCTGTGCAAGTGAGAGCCAGCCGCCAGCAAAGTCCAGCAGCATGGGATAGATACTCCAGCCAACAGTGGATTTGCGTTTGTAGTTGACCCATGCTTGCGGTATATACTTGAGAAAAACGGTAAGGAGTTTGACATAGCCGAGAGTGTAGATCTAGATAGGGCGTTTTTAGTAGTGGGCAAACACAGTGCAACAAAGACAAGCTTACCACATCGATCCATGCCCATCCATCAGCGTTATAGCCTCCGTTCTGCCCTTTGAAGCAGACCAGCAGTACAACTGCAAATATGGCAGCGACACATGCCCACCAGACGGCAAACACAACACGGCTCACTCTCTGCCTCTTGCCTACTTCGAACCCCCATATAGGCTCGAAAAACTGGCTGTATATGATGAAACACATGACTGCGCCGTGGGCGGCAAACAGAAAATCATTGAATCGCACCGTTGTAACAGGCGCTTCGGGGTGTCGTTGGGCATATTGCGCTTTGATGGTAGGGGAGTAGAGGAACGAGGCGGTGGAGATGGTGTAGCAGGTGAAGCCGAGGACGTTCAAGGTAGGAAAGTCGATTGCAAGGCCAAGGGTGGATTTGCGGACGTAATTGGATATGGGTTGAGGGTAGAAGGACCCGGACCTGAATAGGAGGGTCAGCATGCGAGGTAAGAAGGACCCGGAGCCAGAGTAAGAACACACCAGGCAAGAAAGTAGGCCCAGCCCAGGACACGCGATAGGGCTCGCGCAAAAGCCTCGAGCTCGGGGTTCATGGTTATGATGGCAGCCAGAGTACCTCGCGATTGCGACGAGAAGATAAGCGATGACGAGAGCGAGTGGACGGCATAGGCGGCGCTGTCAGTGTCTAGTGTTGCGCCAACATACGACAGAAACGTGCAAAACGCCGGAAGGGAAGAAAAGCACGAGGGGTTTCAGTGACAGTCGCAAAATAACATCATTGTTAAGCAGGCGCACCTGATGCTGCGGCGTGTACAGGCCATGTGCGATTGCGATAGCGACACGGTGGGTGGGTGACCGGGATTGGCCCATGTTCCGAGTGGGTGGGCCATGCATGTGCGTGGATGAACCCGCCGCTGTCTTGCATGCAACGGCTCGCTACTAAATACAGTGACATATGCATACTGACTTTACTGCACCAATAACCGTCGAGTTTTAATTCAACTTCAACTCGTATTATTGTAATGAGAAAACATTTTCAACGCCACTGTAGTCTAATATGTACCGAGGCTAAAGCGCAGTCTCACCGGCTTTCAAGGTACAGCTTTATCCCCTCTCCCTGACCTACGAATGAGGCTTGTAAGGCCTCCCCCATGGTGGTTTTGACAACATAAGCCAGAGGACCACTGAAAACCTCTCTACTCTCATATAGTACGGTTCCATTACCATAATCAGTAATACCCTGCCACCTTTCAGCACTCAGCAGGACCGAAGGCGGCCAGTACGACCAGGCCAGCCTTCCCAGGTCGCGTTGTACGGCTGTAACGAGCTCCTGTGATGATTGCGTATGCAGAGGGTTGTCGGGGGTGTCCTTGTTTACGGGCAGTGGAAGCGAGGGGATCTGAACGCGGAAATAGAGGTTCTTGCCCTCGACAGGCCGTTGCTCAGGCAGTGTAAGGTTGAGTGGTGAGGTGACGACTGCATAGCGGACGAACGGATTCCAGGCGGCGTAGTTGGGGAAATCGGTGAGCAAGTCCCAGACGGCATCGAAGTTAGTGTTGTGGATTTCTATGCGGGTGCCCGCCTCGAAGACGCCTGGTTTGACATCTGGAAGGTTGGTGTACTCGGAAAAGGCAGGAGTTGCATGGAGGAAGATGTAGCAAAGGGCGCTGACAAGAGTGGACTTGAACATGGCGAGAGAACAGTGTCGGTTTGTTTGTCTACCAGAAGGCGGAATCCGACGGAATCAAGTACTTTTCAACGTCTATACGAGGGTGGGGCGCTCGATGGTGGCTGCAGACAGGGTCGGTTACGTTGGCGAGATTGCTCGGTTACAGTCTTCAGATTGCTCGCTTGCGTATAGAAGCACGTAGTTACCGGCTCTATACTGCATCAGGAGAATTGGCCCGTATACATTGCACTGGCACGTCGCGTGCGTGTCAAGAAGAAGGAAAACGGACCTGCATAGGCGAGAACCGTCGACATCGAAAGCACTGCAAAGGATGCGATTGGAGAGACAGAAAATGAAGAGTGGAAAGAGAGTTGTAGACTACGCTAGGGGTCAACCCGAGGGATTGTTATCGATGGGGGGGAATAATGCCTGCAGACAGATTGTTCAGCCACAACTGATGCAGCCACATATCGCTCAGCCACAACAGCCCAGCCACATGTGACTTAGCCACGGATAGTCAGGATGGCTACGGATAGCGTCGGGCTAAGAAGAACTTATTGATAAGGAGACGTCTATGCGCAAGAGAAGGCGACTAGGGTGTAGATTGAACACGCCAACCTCGCTATCATAGTCACAAGAACAAGGACAATCGTGACGGGTTCTTGAGACGCGATCGAGACAGGGATACATACATGTAACTGTAGCAGTAGTCCCAGTATGCGCTGAAGACACGTGACGGTAGCTGACAACACCATATGCATCTAACTATAGTACGTACTCTACGCATCATCATGTGGTGCTGAGGCATCAGCCGGTGTCGGAGTGAGCAGCGCAGGTCACGAGCAAGAGGACAAACAAGGCAATACATAGCATACACAGTCCTACACACGTATTACCATGCAGGACGAGTGGATGCAGCCAAGCCAAGGGTCGAGCGAGCGAATAGAAGGGTGCGGGTGCGGGTGCGGCATGCACATGCACCACCCTGCAGAAGCTCTCGACTGCCCCTCGGTACCTTGGCCTTGACCGACCGCGACAGCGTAGCAGCCGCCGCCGCAAGTATGACTACTGACGACGGCTTGCATATACAACGCCTCAACAACTGCGGGTTGGGGATAAAGGTCGCCGTCGGCTATCGCCCACCGTCAACTGTCTTGCAAACGCCTTCTGTCCTGCTGCGCTATTTGAGGAGCGCCCCAGTCTGCGTGCCGTGTGAAGGAGCACCCCCGCCGTCTGGCGATAGCTGCTGATAGATAGCATTCCACGTCCACCTCAACGCCAGCACAGCCCGAGTCAGAGTCAGCACCCAGAGCTCCTGTGCCGCCATAGCACCGCTGCACCGCTGTACGCCTGTCTTGCTATGCACGCACGCGGCTTGCACCCGCACGAGTCGCCCGTCACGGCTGCACATGACGCAACCGCCTCCGTTTAGCCTTCATCCCCACGCCCTGGCCTGCCGCCTGCACCCGTTGCTTCCCTCGACCACCTCTCCTCCCCCAACACGACACTCACACCCGCCCACCCTCTGCCACCGAGCTAGCGCTCCCCATACTCTCTTCCACACGCCTCTCTAGCAGGTTGAATGAGCTCATCGCCCGACGCCGTTGCCGACCAGACGCATACGAAGCCTGTTTCAAACCTCACCTACCTGCACAAGCACCAGCCCAAGCCCAGCAAGCAGCACGACAGCCCCAACGCGCGTGGTCGCAAGCCCTCGAGACATGAGCTGGGAAGAAGAAATAGGCAGGGTGAACGGGTTACGCGCATCTATCCCAGACAAGTGTACGTGACTTCCCTTGTTGGTCTGCCCCTGTGTCAGTGACTCACCACCTCTCCAGAACAACCTCTCCCTCGTCTGCAAAGCGCCTGTCGTCCACCTCTCCACCAACAAACTACAATGCCACCGCTTCCCCCTTGCTGTCGGCCATCGGTGCCACGCGAAACACTGCCGCCCAGTACACCACCGAGTGGGCCAAGTCGGTACCCTTCTTCCCACACCAAGGCTCTCCAGGTAATGGTGCCATAGCTATTGCAGGCTCTCCGCCCACCTTCCACAACTCGCCCAGTGGCCGAGAAGGCCTATACCAACATCAAGCCATGTCCAACTCACCGCCTGGACCACGGCCCCTAAGCCATCCTAACCAGTACACAACCTTTGGCGGAAGGATGCAGCACTCGCCGGGCAGCGACCGTAGGGCTTCCATGTACTCGCAAAGTGGCCGCACCCCTTCGCACCAGTTTGTTCCCAACCCCCCGCTGCCTCACCAGCCACAAGCCCACTACTACGGCCTGCCCAGCCTTGACTTCCTAAGCGCCCCGAATAGTGGCCTCCAGCCTGGCCAAGGCGGTTGCTTCTGTGGCTTCGACACACTGTCCATGGCCGGAGACGAAGCAGCTCGCTCTGCTGAGAATGTCCTGCTCGTCGGATGTCAAGGCGGCATCGATGTCTTTCGCGTCGAAAAGAGCAAGATGGACATTGTAGGTCGCCTGGAAGGCCTTCGCGGCGCCGTAATAGGCGCAAAGATCCTGCCATGGTCATCGCGGAGAGATCCACTGGCTAGCTCCCGTCCACTTGTTGCACTGATTCTGCACGGCCCAGTCATCAAGGACAGTCAGAATAGCAGTGCAAGTGGCTCCTCTTCGGTCGCAGATGACTCGGCTTCCGATTCGCCTAGCAGGCCATCTTCACGACATGAGAACCATGAAAATGGCCAGATCAGCGGTTACCAGACTACCGTCGAGGTTTATTCCCTCAAAGAGAGAAGGAGGTTGGCCGTCCTATACAGAACGCCAATGACCCCCCTTACCAGCCCAATCGACAGCCCCATGTTCCAGCCACCACCACCTGTAGGCGACTTGGTAGTTGATGCAAAGGGAAAGTTTGTCGTGGTTGCTTCTGGCGCAAGTGGTGAGGTGTTCATCTTCGCACCCTACACAGAAGGTCACTTGGAGTATGCCGAGCGCTTCCGCTGCATTGGCAAGCTGTGGACCTCTGTCCAGAATCGGGAACGAGCCGTGCATTCAAATGGTTCTAGTGCTGCCGATGGAAGCCATGACGAAATCCCACCGGACAAGTATGGCTTACCTGTCTTCTCACTCTCCGATCGTTGGCTCGCCCTCTCTCCACCAGCATCAAGCTCACTCTATCCTGTTAACGGGGTGGCACTGACATCGCCCTACTACGAGCGTGCTCCGGGCCTCGCACATCATAGTGTGCCGCCTCAACCGTTGCCCAACTGTGCTGTTGATGCACCTAACGAGGCAGGCTTGATTGACAGACTTACCCGTGAAGGAACCCAAGTTGCTATCAAAGGCGCACGCTGGGCCACTGAAAAGGGAATGCAGGCGATCAAAAGCTACATGAACAAGGGTCAACAAGGTAATGGTGTTTCGCACAACCAGGATCCAATGCAGCACTACTTCCCACCTACACATGGCTACAGCCAGGCTCAACCCAGGCAAGAAGCCGCTGTCATCTCAGTCTTTGATCTACAAAGGCTGATAGATGCAGAAGAGACCAGAAGCAAGAGTGCTCTCCAACCAGTTGCAACCGTCCCGGCTGCCTTGGGATGCAGCTTTCTTTCCTTTTCCCCTAGCGGCCTGATGCTCATGTCGGTGAGCAAGAAGGGTGACTATCAAGACGTTTGGGATCTGAAGCGTATGCATTTCCGACGAGCGCGTAAGACAGCAAGAGAGCAGCCTATAGGACCGCATGTTCGGCAGGTTGCTCGATTTACCCGCATGACAGTCGCAAATGTCATTGATGTGGTATGGTCTGCTCCCAGAGCCGACAGGTTGGCCGTGATTACCGACAAAGGAACGGTGCACATGTTTCCCATGCCGGCATCCGCATTCCAATGGCCACCTGCTAGGCGGACTCGACCAGTGGCCCAGTCAGCTCAACCCAAGGAGTCCACTCCTCCTAACGGATCTACAGGCGCAGTCAACTCAGCAATGCAAGCCATCAATAGCGCCAAGCCCTGGTTTGATGCTGTTCGGACCAGAACCAATAGTGGTTCTCGTTTCACTCTCGGTGGTCTTGCTGTAACGCCTGTTGTGAGCGCCAAATCTGGCAAAGCTGTAGCCGCTGGGGTGGGCAAGTCGATTAACAACATTCGGCATGCGGGTGATAATAAATTGACGCTCCCATCCTCTTCCAGTGGTATCAAACCCTACAGTGTTCGTTGGTTGTCTGGAAGGGGTCGTGGCTCAATCGCATTGGTCTCTGGCGGTGTACTGCAGATCTGGCGGGTCCAGATGCGACCTGCTGCCGGCAAGGGGAAATCAGGCAACACGGCCTCAATCACCAAGAAGAAAGCTGTAGAGTTTGGGCTAGCTCCTATTCCAGACATATCACTCCCACCGGCAGTCACAGAGCAGATTGTGCCGCAACCTGGAGACCCAGAGCCAAGTCAGGAGTGCTATGGAGACTGGTTACCACGAAGCTTGCCATGTCGCAAACCCGCCGGGCCAACTCTTGCGCCGCTCAGTTTCTCCGAGATTGAGACTAACCCGCCTTACCAACCTTTCTACACGGACAAGCGCGTGACGAGATTTGTTTACGCAAGGCAGGCGTCAGAGGTTCATGGCAGTGCCAGTGAGTATCAGCCAACACTTCCTGAACTGGTCTCGGACCTCCACCACGATGACCCATCACCCTGGCTATTTGGTGAAAGCGTAGAGGCGACACGACTCTCTTCACCTGTGGCGCCAGCCTATGACTCGGGCGAGGACGATATCACTGGAGTTGCTGCCAGGATCGAGAACAAGCTCGTGCTGCGAGATGGCGAAGAAGAGGTGGAACAAGTTGTCGTGACCACTAGACGACGACGAATCAAGAAAGACGCCATCGATGGTGGTGAAGAAGGTTTCTTTGAAGACGACTGCGAGGTTCTTGATTTTGCAGAGGATAGGGTATGATGGAATAAAAAGAAACAAAAAACCCACATATTGCCTGGACTAGCCACTTTTGACAGTCGCTACCATGTTGGGGAGATATTGCGCTTTGGGGCAAAGGCGTATGCTTGGAACAGGCGCTAACGGCTTGCTGTTGTTGTTGTGTTCTTAGTACACCCTTGTTCTTCTTTACTAGTTTTATTTCCCCTGCATCCCCTCCCTCCCTTCTTCCGAGTCTTTTAATCTAGAATCTTTTGCTTTATATCAGGATACCATATAGCCAGCCAAGATAGCATTTGCGTATTGCAACATGCTACGTGCAGATAGATGATCGCGAAAGACAATTCGACACCGTTTTTACGACGTCGACTGCCCACAAAAAAAAAGTGTGTTTCTTTGCCTTGTGTTTTGTCTCGGGTTTGGAGATGAGCTAGAGAAAGAACAAGCAGGGGGGGTATCTAGTATTCATTCCTCATCATTATTCTATCCCATCTTTCCTTTCTCTCCACAAAAAAAAAACACTACAAGTCCTTCAACGGCGCAAAAACATGTTATAACTCGGACTATCCGTCACCTCCTCATACGGATACCCGATATCCTTTAGAAACGCCGTCAACTTCTCGCTCTCGCCCTCATGGCACTGGATCCCCGCGAGAATCTTCGCGACATCACCCCCATAGTTCCTATAGTGAAAAAGGCTAATATTCATGCCCGGCTGGAGCGTATTCAAGAACTTGTACAAGGCGCCACCGCGCTCGGGGAACGCGAACATGAACATGTGCTCGTGTGCTGCGTCGCTGCGGCCACCGACCAGGTAGCGGATATGACTTTTGACGAGTTCATCTTGCGAGAGATCATGTGCTGTCATTCCTTCTGCGGCGAGGCGTGCAATGAGATCGGGCAAGTCGCGGGAGCGGGTTGCGGCTTTTAATTCTACGCCTACGAGGATCTGTGCGGAGTCGGGGCTCGAGTAGCGGTAGCTGAATTCCGTGACGGCCATGGGGTGGATGACTGAGACGAGGTTTGCGAAAGCGCCGGGGGATTCGGGTATGGTGACGGAGAGGATGGCTTCTTTGTTCTCGCCGATGGCGGCGCGCTCGGCGACGAAGCGGAGGCGGTCGAAGTTCATGTTTGCGCCACTGGCGATGGCGATGAGGCCGCGGTTGCGGTCGGGCGAGGGGTTGCGCGAGACCCATTTTTTGAGGCCGGCGAGGGCGAGGGCGCCTGCGGGCTCGACGATGGAGCGTGTGTCTTCGAACATGTCTTTTATGGCGGCGCAGGTCTCGTCGGTAGTGACTTGGACGACTTCGTCGACGACTTCCTGGCAGATGCGGAATGTTTCTTCGCCTACTGTTTTGACGGCTGCGCCGTCGGCAAAGAGACCGACGTCTTTGAGGACTACGCGTTTTCCTGCTTTGAGTGACTCTACCATGGCGTTGGCATCGTACTGCTCCACTCCGATGATTTTGACGTGTGGTGCGATGCGCTTGATGTAGACGCCTACTCCGGCGATCAAGCCGCCTCCACCTACGCAGCAAAACACGGCCTTGAGATCTTGCAGGTTGGTTTGTCGTAGAAGCTCCATACCAACAGTACCCTGGCCCGCAATGACATAGGGATCGTCAAAGGGCGGTATAGAAATGAGTCCATGCAGCTTCTCCAACCTCAATGCCTCTGCTTTTGCAGCATCGAAGTCTGCTCCGTGAAGTATAACGGAACCACCCATTCTCGAGACATTCTTGTGCTTGATATCTGGAGTGCCCGAGGGCATGACAATAGTTGCTGGGATCTTGAGCTTACGGGCAGAGTACGCAACGCCCTGGGCATGATTCCCAGCGCTACATGCCACGACGCCTCTCCACCGCTCTTTGGGCTCCAGATGTGCCATCTTGTTGTATGCACCCCGCAGCTTGAAACTGAAGACGGGCTGTAGATCCTCGCGTTTGAGTAAGACGTTGCATTCTAGCCGGTTGCTGAGATTGACAGCGGGCGTCAATGGCGTTTCCTGAACGACCTCGTAGACGCGCGATGTAAGGATAAGGCGCAGGTAGTCGGGGTATCCATTTGGGAGCAGGAATGCTTCGGGTATCACACTCTGTGTCTTTGAAGTGTTTGGTTCTGAGGGCGGGCTTGGGTTCGCGCTGTATTCGGTGAGAGCAAAGCCATTCCTTGGTGTACGAGGTGTGGCAATGCCATTGGCGATAGTTTCGGGCGTTGTCGGCCGTGAGTAGTCAGGTACTGTTGCCATTGCGTGTGTGTTTGTGGATGAGGTGTGTAACGCCAGTGTGGACATTTTTGTTTTTTTGGGAAAGCTATGGGTGACTCCGCCTGTATCGGAGACAGGGATGTCAAGCACGTTGCTATGGTGGGGCGGGGATCCAAGGTGGGGTAAGGGCCTGTTCACTTTCGTCTCCGCAGGGCGTGTTCGGTTCAACTCCGTTTTCCGTTTTACTAACCGGATCCGTTTTCAGTTTTGAAAACAGGACTCCCAACGCTGTCGTGTTCGGTGAAACGAAGCTCTAGACGAGCAGGCCCTCTATTTTCTATTGCAACCTAGATACTGGAGGCTAGCCAGCCTCCCTACTATTGAAGCTCTAAGCCTAAAAGGGTAACAAAATGGAAACGGAAAAGGGAGAAGTGAACAAGCCTTGACTCTCTGACCTTGTTTCATTTCAACTCTGATTAGACATCATGTCCGAGTGGTCAATATCATCTGTATGTTAAAACTGCTCTGACCTTTTTGATCTGTTTTCCGCTCTTTGTTATTCCTGCGCATCCCCTTTCTGGTCGGGCATGAGATCTCAATATCGAATGATGCATCTTAAGACTATGGATATAGCATCTAGATGGCACTATTCGGTAGTGGCAGTTGGAATAATATTTGGTATTTTTGCTTTGTGTAAATTACCCATATGCTTGAACTCACAGGTGATATCCTAGAACCATATTATCGTATATCGAGACTATAGTTTTCAGTATAAGATAACACCTCTTAACCCATTCGTCTCGTGCCTACATAATCTCCAGTCAAACAGAGGAAGCCCCAAATAAGAATCCACTCCTAATCCCTCACCCCTTACAAAACGCCACCACCTTCTCCGCCCGTCTTCCCACAAGCCCATCCACATACGCCAGAAACACCTCCACATCAAGCATATCCACATTCCCCTCCTTCCACCCGAGACTCGGATTTGAACTCCTTAGCACCTGTCCTCCCCAAAGAATCCTAACAAACCACTTCCCCTCCCCACCAACCCTCTTGTACACCTCAAATACAACTTCCGACCCCATCCCCACCCAAACCATCTGCTCAACCTGCAAAAAGCTCAAAAGACGCGCTAGAGACCCGTCATGGGCGACATTATGGCGATATATGATATCCGACTGGCCCGCCATCGCAGCGCGAATATGACTCGCGAGTTCCGCTAAAAACACGCCGTAGGAGCCCGCAGCAGCTTGCAGCGACTGCGGCGCATCGCGATAGATGAATGAGTATTCGTATTGACCAAGTCGGTACACAAAATCTGCCTGGCGCTGGTCGATGCATAAGCTAGGATCGTTGACATTGCACGGTAAAGGCTTGGCATGGCATTGGCGGGCAGACAGGTTGTCGTAGTAGTGGTCGAACCAATTGTGCCATTCTGTGGAGGTAGATGGCACGCCGCTGACTGCATCGAGGGCTTCGAAGAGCGGGGCTGTGGCGGAGAGGTGGGCAGTCCAGTTTGCGGCGGAGCTGCCGACGCCGTAGGTGCTGTAGAGTTTGGAGGCTGCGGGACAGGAGTAGGAAGGTGCGAGGGAGTCGATGTCGCTGGGTTGAACGTGTAGGGGTACGTTTTCTTTGGGGTTGTACATTCCTTGTATGAGCATGCCGGCGACCTGACTGGTGATGACGTTGTTGGAGACGCGGTATGTGATTTTGGTGTCGATTTGGGACGGTAGGAAGCCTAGCAGGTCGTGGTAGACGCCGTAGAGATCTTTTCCATGCTGCCAGGAATCTTCGAGGCCTTCAAGAGTGATTTGAGGAAATTGGCATGAACCGTTAAAACCCGCTTGTCCAAAGGGATTCACAGGGTCGGTATACACACTCCAGTATGTTGATGCAGAAGTCTTGTTAGACGTATGATCGAGGGACTCTCCATAGTAGAAAAGGCCTTGGTCTTTGCATTCCCAGCGGTATGACTCTCTTGGGAAAGTGTTCGAAGCATATGGTGTACGCTTGTGGTGACGATGGATACTTTTTTTACCTTTCTGTAAGTTATCACTATTTTTTTTGTCAATACAGATAGATGTACTCACATCTCTACGTAAAAAAGTTGAAAATCGTCATCAGCTTTTACGTATTCTTCTTTGCGCACGTGAGGCATGTTGCACCAGTTGTAAGTGCCATATTCAACACCAGCTGGTAACTGCGAGCTGTTGAATATGAAGCCATTCGTTTCAGTACCGTTTAGAATTTGACCGAGATTATTGACCCAGCTTTTTTTGGGTGGGTGCCATCCCAGGTCCACCTCTGTTGCTGATATCGAAGTAGCGATGTTTGCCAGCATCAATGTGATGTAGTTGCGTGAGGTCATGCCGATGCCGATTGACAAGAGATGGTTGAGCACGAAGGTGGTGAAGGTTGCAACAAGCACGGAAGAGCCACAGAGGACTACATACCGCATTGTTTATATCACAGTTTATCAAGACGCGATATCGGGAACAATTGCAGAAAACAGAACGTCTCGTCATCGGCAGCAAGCGCTAGCAGAAAGTACCTTTTGGAGGATGCGCGCACGCGTCCAAGACTGCCGTCGCGATTGGTCCATTGAAGAAGGAAGCGGGTTCGTCGTCCGTCCCACTCCGGAATTGACCAAACACGGTACTGTACACAACCACGCTTCTCACATCCTCCAAGTATTCTCCCTTAAAAGGAACAACAAATCCAAATTAAAGGCAAGGACGCGGCATTGTTGTAACGCCGACCCACCAATGTCAGCAGTACGAACTCTTCACACAGAACTCCGAGTCAAGTCAAGTTAAAGTCAGAGTCAAGACAAAGTCTAAGCCGGGTCAAAGTCAAAATCAGGTAGCAAAGAATTAAAAACTTTGACATTTCTTCAAACACTCAACCCCTCAATTGCTACATAAAGAAGCAACCGCTAAATACAGTTTGGAACTACCTCGTCAATAAAAGCTACGCTCAGCGCCAAGTTTAACCACCCGGATCCTTCTTGCAAAGAGGAAACGGCGTGGGAAGAGCATGAATCTAAGGGGTACTAAACAATCGAAAGGGGGTATGCGCAATACTGAAGTCAAACTCAGATAAACAGACAAAGAAAAACACAAAAGAGTATCAGACATAGTCGACATAGGAAAAGGTATGTGCCAAACTCAAGTATACACATGCACCTTGTGAAATGCATACGATGTGAAAGTGTAACATGCTCGGCACGTCCAAATTGTTGTTTCCTCAAACATGCATTGTTGGATAGATGCTGCTTTCAGATAATGGAGACTGGCAGTGTTGTGGTCCAACGACGTACCAGCGCGGATTCTTGTTAATTTCACATACTGCTGTTTTTGCTTCTAGAGCAGATGGTCGGTTAAAAGGCACCAGGTCGGTATGGGCGATACTCGCGACCTTCTGCGCTGACTGCGCGACCATTGGAAGCAGGGACTGAAAGTTGTCTCGATGTCGGTCCATCTGCAGTAACGACGCGACGCCTGCCCTTTTCGAGTCGTGTCGTCCTCCAGCTCTCATACCACTGCTCGCGGCTGGCTTCACGAAGCTCAGAACGCCAATCGCTAAAGACGCTTTCCCTGAGCTTGACGAAATCGCAATGCTCTGGGTTGTAGGGATCGGCAAAACCCCAAGGAAACCTACGCCCAATAACCTCGGGGTCATAAGGATCCGGTGAGATGATGCTGAGAGGCAGGAAAGGTGTTTCAGTGCTTTCGCTGTGAATCGACGCAGCCATGGCAGACGGCTTGCGGCTGTGGTTCCTGCTACCATTTGGTGCCAACGCCGAAGGCGATTGGGATTTGGTGGACGACGCAGACGAAGCAATTGAGCGCGCAGCTTCGGAAGAAGATCGTTCGAGAATCTTGTTGAGCATCTCGGATTTCTGTTCGCCGTCAGACGAGTGCTCATACTCATCCTCGTCGCGCTCGTCAAGTCGGTCCTCATCATCATCCTCGTCGTCGCCCAATTCGAGGTTCAAAGCCTCGAGTGGGTCCAACTTGGATTGTTTGATTGTGTCCCACACCGTCTTCTTGAGATAGCGCATGTGGGCACCAGTAATGGTGTCTGCCTTGCTGATGACTGGAATCACGGTAGTCCTTGTTTGGAGCTCGCGGAGCACATTGAGATCCAGATTCTCGTCCAAGCCTCCAAAAATGGCACTGCCAGCATTGACAATGTTGGCATTCTTGCGGGCTTCGGCAATGTTCTGATCCAAACGGATGGGATCTAACAAGAAAAACACGCAGTGGATATGCGTGTCCTTTGCTCCTGGGGAACGGACAACTTTTTGCTCTTCACTGAATGTGTCCTCAAACTTGGACTCGAGAAAGGTGGTGATCAGAGGCAGCTGGAAGTCGACAATGTTCTTTTCGAGGCCCTCGGAGTCCCAGAGGGTGACACCCACTCTCTCGCCATCGACTTCAGTCTCGAGAAACTGCGAGGTGAAGGGCGAATCGTCGCCACCAACGGCAGTCGCAGGTGGAGAAGGGGTGCGCGGTCGCTTACTAGCGGGAAGCGCGAGGGCAGTGCGCAGGAACTCGATGAAGGCGGACTTGCCGGAGCCCTTTGTGCCAATAACAAGGATGCTGAAGCATGGTTAGCTAGCGTAAGTGAAGAGATGGTGGTGACATACTTGAATGGTGTGGGATCCTTCCTCCTGCGCACGCGGCGAGGGCTGTTGACGTTGGTGGCCTGGGTACTGGCATAGCTGTAGCGGCCACGGTTGGTCATGCTCTCGGCCCTGGGGTATGGATCAATGTCGGCAGGCAATGGAGGCGAAGGGCCGGTCGGCATGTTGGGCTGGCGAGCCACCTTGGAAGGGTCAATCGAGGGCCGACTGAAGTTGAAGGCATTGGGGTTGTAGGCGCCGACTTTGTTGGAGACAATGGCGACCGAGTCTGGACGATACGAATCCTCGCCGCCGAACGTGGCAATCTGGGGCAGGGCCGAGTGCGAGGGCAGGCGGGGCGGCTGGGTGGGGAGCATACTGGCCTCGCGCTGCCTGCGCAACGCCTCCTCCTGGGCGAGGGCCTTTTGCTTGCGGCTCATTTTTGCTCCCGAGGTGCTTCGGCTGGCGCTGCTACCGCGTGTTTCTGAGGAGCTCTTTCCGCTGGCTCTGCGCAGAAAGTTGAAGCTGGTCCTGCGTGTTCCGGACTGATTGTCGACAGAGGAGAGCGAAAGACGAGCAGCAGTGTCGGGCGAGTCTTCCTTGTGTGCCGAGGGATTGGAGTAGCTAGGAGCGGCAGTGTCCGCAGTAGAGGCCATGGTGGGCGGAGGGGTGTCTTAATATCAACGGCTCAGTGGTTGCGCGCGTGGTTAATCTTAGTAACGGAGAGTGAGAGGGCTCCTGGATGGGCAGTCGGAAGAGAGAGTTAGCTTCCCTATGCCAGACAGGGTCAAGAGATTGGGTCGACGAAATGGCGTCGACAGAAATTGAAATTGGAGGAGGGAGCGGCCGCCTGTGTGGCCAGGTTAGCAGTCTGCTCCAACGCGTATCCCATGGCGCGTGCGGGACAGAGACCAGGGTGTGGGTCAGAGGAGTCGGAGGGACGTCTGCGTATGTACGTACTAACCTTAATATCCGACACTACTGCAGGGACGACGATATTGGGGGCCAGGCGGTGGTGGCAGCCCCGGATTCTGCAACAGCAAAAGAAACAAGGGACAATAAGGCGAGACCTGACGTGCTTGCGGATACTAGTAGGGCTGAGGGAGGAAGGCGGCAAAAGCAAATGAGTGCAGGGCAGAGTGGACGAGGCAATGGGTGAGAGGGAGCGAGCCGAGGGAAGGGCTGAAATGGGATTGGACTGGACTGGACTGGACAGTGTGGGACTGGGCGCGCTCCGGGAAATGGCAGATACAGATACAACGCCCGACGAGGGTGGCACGCACACCCGGTCTCAATGCGAAACCGCCTGCTTGCTGACGGCATTGATTGGGCAAATGTAAGTATAATTTGCACTTGCACCCACGACTGGCCGACGACAGATGACATGGATGCCGATCCACGACGGTCCAGTCATTCTAGCCGGGGCGATGGCGCTATGGATGCGCTGGGTGGGTAGCAGTAGGGCCAGCAGTTGGAGTCGAGCGGTACGCTGTGTATGGATGTGGGTGTAAATGTGTGAATAGGGGGTTCGCCCTAGCCCGACGATCCTCACACGCCACGGCGCAGCAGCAGCAGAAGCCAAGGGTTCCTCTGACGGCGGATGCATGAATGCTGTCCATCACTGTGCTACGTTTGCAGAGACTTCAAGTGCCTTGTGTCTTCGTATACGTATGTGTTTACGTTCATGTCCGTCTATGACTATGGATGTGTCAGAAACCATGGCAGTCAATCGTCGACGCCTCAGCCCCACTTGGCCAATCGGGGGCCTGCGCCACAACACCATTCACACACAGCCTCCACGGCAGACTCTCGCCGAACCCTGCGCCTATCGATATCCTACCCCGCAATCACACGGTTCACCACGTTGAGCTTTTCTTTTCCCTCTCCCGCCCGTGTCCCCGGTACCATGGCGATTGACTTGCGCCCAGCAACATCGCCTGTGGCGCCGCCATCTTGTCCTGACTCCTATGCAGACAGCCAATGCCCTTACTCCCGAACGCTCGAGAAACACCGGCGGCTTGTCATGCCATCCCCTAGCATGACACCGCCATCACACGACATGTTGATGGACATGCTGTAGCCAAAACGTTAAATTCCCACATGACGCAATCGTCAATCTGACTCGTGCCTTGATGCGTCTGATTAAGGCGAATAGCTGCCTCGCTCTTCTATCGACTTCATCACCTCCTCAGTATGCTGCCAAACCTTGTCCACCCCACCTTCGTCCCGAAGCTTTCTCGCATTGTCCGTGTCTGCCAGTATCTCGCCATTCCAGTTCAGAAGGTAACTCCCGCTGCCCACAACACCATCGCTGCCCACCATATTCGTCGTCTCTGCGGCCACACGTGGAGCGTAGACGGGCGAGGTAGCAGCAAACAGATGCCGCTCCCCACTCTCCCCCTGGGGAACAAACATCAGTCGTCCCAACTTTGAGAGCACAAACTTGACGGCTCCGTTGACTGGCCCAAAAAGTTGACGCGTCACCCCTGTCTCAACCCCCGATGGGTAGGCGTGGATGTAGGCCGTCTTGGGGTGCTGGTTGGCCAGGTGGGCTACAGACAAAGAAAGCATGGCGCTGGCATGAACCAAAACATTCTTCAGGCTAAACGTGTTCTTGAGGGAAAGGTCCGAGAAGTTGACTCCTCTCAATCGCAGACCAGCCTGGGGATCCAAGACTGCAACTACGCGCGAAAGCTCGTTTGATGCTGCTGCTGCATCCATCAATGGAGTAAGCTGTTGGATGAATCTCATGCGTGCATAGTAGTGCAACGAAAACTTGCGATCCAACCCCTCGGCCGTCTCGTCGCGGCCCTTGACGGAAAGATATCCGCACGTCATGAAGAGCATGTTGACGTGCTTTTCCTTGCTCTTGATCTCGTTGCATGCCTCGTCCACGTTCTTCAACAGCGAAATGTCCTTTTGGATAAAGCTCACTTTTGACGCCGAATTGATCTCGCGGAGCTCGTCGACGATCTTGCTTGCTTCGGTGGCATTGCGCCCAATGAGGTAGACGGTCGGTGAGACCGTATGACAGACTAGCTCGCGTGCTGTGAAGAGGCCGATTCCGCTCGTGCCTCCGACAAAGACGGCAACAGGGTTGGGTAAGACAGACTTGAGTGTTGCGTTGTGACTACGGACTGCTGATATCGCAACCATGATGATGAGTAGCGGGGCAGCTTTGCAGACTGTCTTACAGCGGCTGCGGACGTTTCATGTACAGGGCGTTTTATGTACAACTGTGCCGCCGGCGGGCAACTAGTCCGACAACTCTCAGCGTTCGTCCGGCCCCCAACAACGAAACTATGCATAATGGCAGCGCAAATGCTGTAAGCCAACAGGGGCGCGCTGCACAATCACAACATCACGCTGGCAGCTCCATGCATGTGACGCTCAATGCGGCTGAAGCGCAAGTCTCGGTAGCCTCCGAACATGGCGTTACTAGTAGGTCCCACCAGACCCTGATCCCCTTGCCTCTCGTCCCCACTTTGCCTGTCTCTAGAACACACGGCATCATGACTCAATCTCCATCTCGAGCGGCCTTTTTGACTCAAGAATTGCATCCACCATGAACGCACTGGGTGACCTGTCTCCCACCCTAGATCCAACCCAGCTTGCCGCGGGGCAGGCGCCTCCAACCCCGCCTCACGAGAACGCCCTCGACGATGTGTATGGCTCTGCGCCTTCGTCCCCAGTCCTCTCTGCACATGCCCCGCAGGCACGGCGCCATGAAATCCTTTCCGACCTTCCCTCTCGTCAGCGCGCCCTGGATACGGATGCCTATCGAGAAGGCCTAGCAACTAGCAAGGGCCAGTACGTACAGCAAGGATTCGATGAAGGCTACTCTCTCGGGGCAAATCTTGGACTCAACACAGGCTACATCCTCGGTGTTCTACAAGGCTTTGTTGCCGCATGGAAGAACCATGATCAGCAAGCACACAAAAAAGCCACAGAAATCTACGACACGGCTCAGACCGAATTGGCCATAGAGCAGCTTTTAGGCCAACAATGGGTGGATGAGGAAGGTATCTGGAAATGGGGTGTCGTGGGCAAGGAAGGCGATCCTACGTTTAGAGAGGTCGCCGCTCAGCATCCCGTGATACAGAAGTGGATGGACAAAATCCAAGAATTGGCTAAAAGGTGGAATGTGGATCTTAAGGCAGTAGACAAGATGCACGCTTTACAAGAAAATGAGGTTTGAGAAGAAGATAAAACATAATCAAATACACAGGACTCAAAGTCCCCGAGAAACAGTCTCTGCTTGGTCATGGAAGGCCTTGGCGCACTGTTCCAGTATAAGTAAATCAAAACCCTATCCTCGCTCTTGATCGGTCGGTCAAGTCGGAGATAGAATCGCCTAGCACTGATGGTATGAAGCCCACTTGAAGCTTTCGTTGCTGCTACAACATTGGTAGTAGTATTTACTTAATATGCACTACATTGTAGTAAATGGAGAGTTAGCGCTTTTATCTCATCCACTTTTTGTTTAAGATAATATTGTAGTGGTACTGATATTTTGTAGTAGCAAAGGCGGCTTGTTTTGGTCTGGGTTCTCCGGTTCCACCGATCGACCGAAAGCCTCTGAGATTCATTGACGTTGTTGCCTTCTCAACGCACGGACCAAGAAGCACCGAAAATGCCGTCATGACTATACGGCCAAAGACAAACTCCCGTTGCGACATGCTCACCATGCCAAATCTTACCCGTCTCGTTTTGCTTCAACTCTCCTCTTGACAGCCATGATACATGGCTTGTCTGCTCTTCACCGAGCACATGCACAAAACGTCACACTGCGATTGCTAACGTCAGCCACTTGCCCCACGCGCTTGTACCAAGCACAGCTTGCGCGCCGCCTGCAGACACAAGCATGGGAACCATTGCGCCCCCCAAACCCTGCCGACCTGCCCAAACCCAAGCAGCGCAAAATCAAGCCCCCTTTTACTCGTCGAAAATGGGTGCGCCGTCTCGCTGCTGTCTCCGCACTGCTAGGCGCAGGATGGGCAGTTGACCAGCAGTTCAATGCCTCGTCCATCACTCGCAGCCTGCGCACATTCAAAGTCGGCCTCTTGATTGGAATCGACTACAAGATCAACTTCCGTGCGCACCCACCGCTTGCCAATAGCATCGAGGATCTCCATGCCAGAAATGCGACGAGGGTCTTTGATCTTCTGCGATACAATGGCGGACTGTATCTGAAGATTGGCCAGGCCATTGCTATGCAGAGTGCCATCCTCCCGCCACAGTTCCAGAAGATGTTTCAGCAAATGTTTGACGATGCGCCGCAGAATGAGTGGTGGGAGGTGGAGCAGGTCATACGGGAAGACTTTGGCAAGAGCGTTGAGGAGGTTTTTGGCATTGGCTTCACTAAGCAAAATGGCCGAGGTATCATGGAGAAGACTGCTCGAGCTAGTGCAAGTGTTGCCCAGGTCCATTGGGCAAGACTGGCAGATGGAAGAGAGGTAGCCATCAAGATCCAGAAGCGAGAGATTGCACAACAGGTCGGATGGGATCTCTGGGCTTTCAAGGTTGTCTCCAAAGTATATACATGGTGGTTTGGAATCCCTGTCTATACCCTCGTGCCATACATATCAGAGCGCCTAATGCTAGAAACGGATTTTGAAAATGAGGCAAACAACGCTGTAGAGATGAAGACACTGGTATCTGGAGAGCCAAGACTTAACGGACGAGTTTACATACCCACCGTTTACCGCGAGCTTTCCAGCAAGCGAGTCATGACAGCCGAGTGGATAGAGGGGATCAGGTTATGGGATAAGGAGGGAATTACAGACAGCTGGAAAGGAGGATGGCGTCGCGGCAGCCCAGGGGCAGGCGGCGAACAACTGCCGCCTATCCCACAAGATGCGCCGGTGGACACTCATGCTCCAGAAGATGCTACAAAGCATGATTTCTTCAAGCCGGACCGCAGCTACTGGCGGGGCAAGGACGGCAAGGGCGGTCTAGGTGTCTCTCTGAAGACTACGATGAATACCATTGTAGATCTTTTTTCGGCGCAGATGTTCTTATGGGGCGCTGTACACTGTGACCCGCATCCAGGCAACATTTTCGTTCGACGCCTCCCCAACGGACAACCCGAAGTCGTCCTCATCGACCACGGTCTGTACATTCGCATGGATCCCAAGTTCCGCCTTCAATATGCCACGTTCTGGAAATCACTATTGGCTTTCGACAATGACAAAATCGAAGAGATTGTTAGTAGCTGGGGCGTCCAACATGCCGACATTTTCGCCTCTGCAACGCTCATGCGCCCGTACGAAGGCGGTGACAAGAGCGTAGCTGAAGTGCTCAAAGCCGAACGCAAGGGCAAAGACCAAGCCGAGCGCGCTTTTGAAATGCAAGCCAAAGGACGTGATGCGATCAAGCTTATTCTTGGCGACGACGCCAAATTCCCACGTGAACTTCTCTTCATCGGACGCAACCTGCGTATCGTTCAGGGTAATAATCAGTTTCTCGGCTCTCCAGTCAATCGTATCAAGATCACTGGCTTGTGGGCTAGCAGAGCCCTAATCGAGAGCAAGGATCTGGGTGTGGGTGAACGATGGAAGAACTGGATTCAGCATTTGCGCTTCCGTTGTGTATTGGCACTCAGCGATGCAGTCTTCTTCTGGAGCAAGATTAAGCAGTTGATTGGCGTGGGTCGAGGCATGGAAGATGACATTGAGGCGCATATGCGCGTTATGGCCAAGGACTTTGGTGTCGAGTTGAACCACGGCGTGTTTGAGGGATAGACGGTGATGGAGATTTGTATGAATAGATGGATGATAATAGCCGCTCTCCCAGAATTATACTTGTTTCATAGAACACATGTCCCTAAATGCGAGCCTCAGCTGTGTATGCAATGCAAGCGTTTCGAGCTGTCCACCACCATTACAAACGTCCAAGCTCGTGATGACGCGCCTCATGAATGTGCCGAGGTAAGTCGTAGAAGACGGTCAGACACCACCTTTCCACTGCAACACCATTACAACACCCATAGCCATCCCATCTCCCATAAGGCGCTCCACTCTCACATCATCTCACGTTTCTCGACCAAACTTCCCGTCGTTTTGCTCCACTTTCGACGCGTCCACGTGTTTTGCCGAACCTCGGCCAGAACGACTCGACTCGCTTGATTCTTGCGGGGAAAACAACGGGGATTACTATTCATTCGGGGACTATTACCATCATCACGTTTCCAGAGACCCAAGGGAAATCTCCACAGTTTCCATAAACCGCTTTGAGATAAACTTGCTTCGTAAATCTTGAGCTCGTAAAAGAAAACAATATCGACTATTTATCATGGCTTCCTCTCAATACTCAGACATTGTATTCGAAATCCGCAACCAGATCGGAATAATCAAGGTACTACCAGCTTTTTCCCTTGCCCCTGTCTATGCACATATGTATTATTAGATGTAAACATCATTAACACATATACAAGTTCAACCGCCCGAAAGCACTCAACTCATTCGGCGGCAACATCATTCCCGAAGTCATTGCCGCGCTGCGCGTGCTCAACGAACATCCAGATACCATCTTCACCGTTTTAACGGGCGAAGGACGGTTTTTCTCGGCGGGCGCGGATGTCAAGGCTGTTGCGGGGGTGGGTGGAGAGGCGTTTAAGAATGAGGGTGAGAACAAGTTGGTGCAGTTGGGGAGGTTTACTTATGGTAAGTTTGCTGAATCCGATATTAAGATTAGTAGTAAACCTAACACGTGTGTCTAGCAACTGAACTTCTACGCTCGATGATTGATCACAAGAAGGTTCTCATCCTCGCGCTCAACGGCCCTGCTGTCGGTGGCGGTGCAGCGTGGTTCCCTGGTATCGCGGATATAGTACTTGCTTCATCGACTGCATGGCTCCAATGCCCCTTTTCTGCACTCGGGCTCGTGCCTGAGAACGGATCTGCACTGTCCTTTGCCCAGCACATGGGCATCCATCGTGCAAACGACTTTCTCATGTTTGGTCGCAGACTCACCGCGCAAGAGCTGCTTGATGCAGGCTTGTACAACTATGTCTGGGACGCGACAGGCGATGAGTTTCAGAAGAAGGTTGTAGATTTCTTGGAGGACCAGCTGAAGGTTAATGATGGCAAGAGCATGATTGAAATGAAGCGGTTGCAGAACGCTCCGATTAGAGATGCGAGGATGATGGCGGTCGTAAACTCGATTGATGCGCTTGCGGAGCGGTTTGTCGAGGGTGCGCCGATGAAGAGATTTGAAGTTAAGAGGAGGGAGTTGGAGGAGAAGAGTAAGGCTAAGGCGAAGATTTAGAGTATAGAATCTGGGGTTGTTAGATGGATTGGCGGAAGCTTGTAGCACGTTTTGAAAGACCACACGCAAAGTCCACGAATAGATTTGAGTTTTTTCTTAGAGTCTGGACTAGGCTTAGATTATGTCTTGCAGAATACATCCGAGTATATTTGAACGGTGGTACAAAAATCTCCGAGAATCCTCGTGTACTACCAGACGGCGCCCCGCTTTAACCTCCACCCCTGTCAATCCGCAATCCCCCGCGTCTTTCCAACATCGCGTCTTGTCGTCCCGGGAGAACATATATCCAAGGTAGATGAGTATTCGAATCCTACCATAAAAATAGCAGCCTGTCAAGCTCAGAATCCCTGGTTCAGAACCCTTGATTGAACAGCACCATCACAATGGCACCAAACTGGGACAAACTCATCCGCTTCATTGCGACGGACGGCCGCGAGCTGCGGGGTCAACCAATCCTCCCCTCTGCCGACTTTGATATTGGGACGACAACCGAGGAAACAGGCTTGAAAGCCAAAGTCATCGACGTAAAAAACAATGACATCTTTGACCCGGCGACAAGAGTTACAGATGAAGAAGTGACTGTGAAGAAGCTTCTCGGTCCCGTGACACAGGATGAGGTCCCAATCATCCGATGCATAGGACTGAACTTCATCAAACACAGTACGTTCCCTATTATTCCAAGAGAAGCCACCACATGTAATCACTTACTGATCAACTGAGCGAAACAGTCCAAGAAGGAGGCCGCACACTCCCCCCCTTCCCCTCCACCTTCATCAAAGCAAACACCTGCCTAACCGACCACAACGCCCCCATCGTCATTCCCAAAATCGCCCAAGACAACCAAGCCGACTACGAAGGCGAACTCTGCTTCATCATCTCCCGCGACGCAAAAGACGTCTCCGAAGCTGACGCCTTCAACTACATCGGTGGCTACCTCTCTGGCAATGACGTTTCAAGCCGCAAACTCCAGCGCGACCCCCTCCTCGCCGGCACCGTCCCGCAATGGAACTTTTCAAAAGGCTTCGACACGTATGCGCCTCTAGGTCCGCAAATCGTCAGCACGACCGTTATCCCTGATCCCAGTGTTTTGCAGCTGCAGACACGTGTGAATGGCGAATTGCGACAGGATTCAGGGATCGATGATTTGTGCTTTAAAATTCAGACGCTCGTGGCGTATTGTAGTCAGGGGACTACGCTGAAGAAGGGGACCGTGTTTATGACGGGGACGTGTGCGGGCGTGGGGTATGCGATGGCGACGCCCCAGTTTTTGAAGCCGGGGGATGTGGTGGAGGTTAATGTGAAGCCGCATGTTGGGACGCTAAGGAATGTGGTTGAGTATGCTTGATTGGGGTTTAGGGGGTGGACGGAGGTTGGGTTAATGGAGAGCAAAGGAGTTATCTTAGGGGAAGAGGGAGAATTTTGTGATGTCATGCTTCAAACGTTTTGCGGATATCGAGCAGTGCATTTTCGAAGAGAAAGGACCGTAGTGCAAAACAATGAAATCTGGTCGAATGATGATCTCAGAGCACAGTGATCACTTCACCTGTGTAAACCTGCAAACGTCCGACCCGCACAGCTAACGAGGGGAATCTGTCATCATGGCCTATCGCCTCCTCAAACTAAGACAGTTCCAGGTAAAAAACTGGCAGTTTATCAGATACCTAGACAAGCCCTAGAGTAACCTTCCTGGGGATCGAGCCAACGTCCCGGCGTGCTAGAATACCCATTACACCGTCTACCCATGCGACATATGCTGTACGATAGGGCGTACGATGAACTGCACATCTTAGTTCCAGTCCCAACATCGGCGTATCTACGGGAATGAACAAGGACGCAATCTCCCTGCCAGTGACCCACGGCAAGAGTAACTTGTACCTAAGATCGTCGCTGTCCAGTTCCTGCAGGGCGTTCGCCGACCATAGTATCTACGCTGTAAAGCATGGGACCAAGACGGAATGCCTTACATACGGCTGTATGTGATACGAAACAATCACACCCGGGCGGCAGAGCGTGCTCTTGCACGTGAAGCGGACCGACTCTAGCATGGACGGTCCCAGAACCATTCTTTAGGAGAACAAAGTAAGAACCGCCGAGACACCAGCATACCATACATACAGAGAATTATGAGAAGCACCACATGGCATGATCGCTTCGATCGATCCCCCATCTCACAGGTTTCCCGGAGCGTATGCGCTGACTAACGGCACAGCCAGCCAGCCAGCGGGTCATACGTTGCATACTTACGTATGTACAAGTTGCATATCCCTTGCACTATGCTACAATCATGCCATCCACACACTTCACACACTCGCCGATGGGGCAACCTACTACTACTATCTACAATTGGAATGCCGAAGCCGATCGCAGACACCCCTTGCTAAAGCCGTTGGCAATCATGGGGGTCCCACCACTTTACGCTCATCTAACAAAGCGGTAACGGTAATTCAACTAAGAATGTTCCCACAAAAATCAAGGAAAGTCTGGGCACACGTCCCTACTAGCAGCTAGGGTTCGTGGGACAAAAGGCTTGTTAATCATCGCCCGGGTCGTATGCGGGTTGACCCACTACAAAAGCTGCCAAATTCCTACGTACCAACCATATCCCTCCTACTAGAACGTTTCATGTCGTTTTTGCACTGCCCTTCCCCCACCCCTAACCTGTTTTTGGGGTTGTTCGCGGGCAGGTTGACGATGCCGACGGGAACAGTTTTTTTGCCCTGCATGCTCGGGAGTTTCTTGTCTGTGCGGTGTACAGTAGTTAGGTTGCTTGATGACGCTTGGCCCGCCGCACCCCTTGAAAAGTTACCACGGCGTCGGTGGAGCGTACAAGTTGCTGCAAGAGACATATGTCAGAACCCTTTTTGTTCGGTATGCGGACTTTTTTTTTTAAAGGATGGCGTTTTTGGGCGCTTGAGGAGGCTGTGTTTGAGATGAGCTGAATACTACGTATGTGTGCGCGTATATGCGTGTGTAGGATTATATTATGTACACAAGTAGTCACCAAGCAAGCCACGTCGAGATCCTTCACCGAGGCAACCCTCTCGAAGCAGCAAGCCGTAGTCACAAGGAACCAAGTCTTACGCAGATGGCACTTATGATACAAAAATCCCAGAAGATGAAAAATCGCGCAAGCTTGGAGGGGAGTTTAGGCGGGGGAAGCTTAGTATGCCGTTTAAGAGTGTGGCTATGGCGGGCATTCGAAAATCGCTCATGGCTAACCACCAAGAGATTGGACTCGACCATCTTATCGGAGTAGCAACAATGCCGTGGCATTCGCCGCTGTGTAATGTGACAGCGGCCTGTAACTAGGCACGTCCCTGCACCGCTTCTTTTGCTCCTTTTTTCTTCTCTATCAAATGTGATGAGATATTTGTGCGTCCAATCGCGCCGAGCGGGCCCAGGAAAAAGGCCCTCAAGCATGTCATCTGCGGTTGCTGGTATGCGGCTATGTCTTGCTTGGTGCTTGTAATCATACAGGCGGGTTCGAACAAGGACAGGCAAGACAGGCAAGACAAGCGCTCGTTGCGATCCTGTAGCCTTGCCTTTTAGGCCCCACGGCGGAATACTACTAGTAGAATAGAAAAAAAGAATGGGCAAGCTATCCCGATGCTGGGCTGGTTGGTTGCATCACATATAAAATAAGTCCCTCACATAATTGACGAAAGCCGTTGCTTGACTGAACGCGTTCCCTTCTCTTTCCTTCACCTCTTCACTGTCATCTCTGAGAGCCAACCTGTTACCCAACCGCGCTCTCTGTCTCTCACATGGACAACGAAGAGAAAGGAGTTCCCCATGTTCGCTTTGGGGAGCTCAATCTCCCCGCCGAGGCAGATGGATACGTGACACACGACCGGCGCTATGAGCGGCCGTTGTCAAGACGGTCCAGCGTGGGCAGCATGTCTATTCGCAGCGCTGGAGGAGCCCGTACGGTTCAGCCAGAAACTGCTCTGCCCATCGCCTACCGCACACTGTCTATTGAGGTTGATGAGCGTCAACTTGAGAAACAAGTCGAGACGAAAAAGGCAAAGGAGAAAGCAGCAATTGGTGATTAAGGCCTTTTTTCGACTCGTCTTGTGCACAGTATACTGACCCTGAATTGTAGATGTGGCGGGCCTGGAATGGCACACTCTTGCCGTACCCGACCTGTGCCAGCGTCTTCATGTCAACACTGAGCGCGGTCTCTCCGACGACGACATCAAACGGCTCAGGAACCAGTATGGTCCGAACAAGATCACTCCTCCTCCCTCTGGAATTGTGGGCAAGCTGACTGGATACTTCTTTGGTGGTTTTGGAAGTATTCTGATCGTTGCTGGTATCCTGGTATTCGTCTCCTGGAAGCCACTGGGCGATCCCCCAGCGACCGCCAACCTGGCGCTTGCCTGTGTGTTGATTGCTGTCTGGCTCATCCAAGCGGGATTCAATGCGTGGCAGGATTGGTCGACGAGCAAGGTCATGGCTTCCATTGGTACTATGCTTCCAGATCAGTGTATCGTGGTTCGCGGCGGCTCGCAGACGAGCATCTCAGCTCAGAACTTGGTTCCCGGAGACGTCATCATCATCAAGCAGGGAAACAAGCTTCCGGCCGATGTTCGTTTTATTGAAGTCTCTGGAGATGCCATGTTTGATCGCGCTATTCTTACAGGTAAATTGTTGTCTGTGTGTATCTGTGCGACAGAGACTAACGCCTCGCAGGTGAATCCGAACCAGTGAATGCCACCATCAACCGAACCGAAGACAATTATCTCGAAACCAACAACATTGGTATGCAAGGAACGCATTGTGTTTCTGGTAGCTGTGTGGGTGTGTGTGTGGCAACTGGTGACGATACGATTTTCGGCCGCATCGCAAAGCTCACTTCGAACCCCACGACTGGCATGACCCCACTACAAAAGGAGATTCTGCACTTTGTACTCATCATCTCCGCATTTATCTTCTGCGTTGTGGTATTTATCATCATTCTCTGGTAAGTTTGTCTGGTTTGTCATTGTATGAAGGATCTATACTTACACAGTTCAGGGCCGCTTGGCTGCGAAAAGCGCATCCCAAATGGATCAACGTGCCCCAGCTCATCGTCAGTTGTGTTTCTGCAGCCGTTGCCTGTATATTTACTCCAGCTCCCAAATTTCCTGAATATACACTGACTCTATTTCCCGTCTAGTCATCCCTGAGGGTCTCCCCATCGCGCTCACCACAAGCTTGACCATCGTTGCCAACATGATGCGCAAGAACAAGATTCTCTGCAAGTCCCTCAAGACCGTCGAAACACTGGGCTCTGTCTCCGTGATCTGCTCTGACAAAACCGGAACTCTGACCAAGAACAAGATGGTGGTCACCGATGTGTGTTCTGTGGATAAAACGTACACTGTCGATGCAGCGCTCAGAGAAATGGCTGCGGCTGAGTTTATAACTGATGGTACAGTACCAAAGCCTGCCGCTATCGAACAGATCCACATTGTCGGTGGTCTCTGCAACTCTGGTGAATTCGACGCCGCGACCATGCACTTGCCTATTGCTGATCGCAAGATCAACGGCGACGCAACGGACCAAGCTATTCTCCGACTGTCCGAGTCCTTTGGCTCCGTCAATGAGCTCCGGAACCAGTGGAAAAAGACTTTCGAGATTGCGTTCAACAGCAAGAACAAGTTCATGGTCAGGATCATGGTCGCCGCCGATCAACCCAGCACCACCAGCGTCGGTACCCTCCTCGTCAAAGGCGCTCCGGATATCCTCCTGCCCCGCTGCGAACTCGCTCTCAACGAACAAGGCGAAGAAATCGTCATGTCGGATCTCAAACGCCAGTGGATCGAAAGTGTCAAAGACGACTGGTCGCGTCAGGGCAAACGTGTCCTCCTTCTCGCCCGCAAGCCCACCATAGTCGCGACCTCCGGAGCTCAAGAAAAAGACGTCCTTGCCTCGATTCGCGACGGTCTTACATTCGTAGGCATTGTCGGCATCGTCGATCCCCCTCGTGACGAAATCTCAGACGTCGTGCGTATCCTCCGTGGCGCTTCGATTCGCATCTTCATGGTTACCGGCGACTTCAAACTCACTGCGCAAGCAATTGCTGAGGAATGTGGTATCATTTCAAACTCTGCCATCGTCGATGATATCTCTGCTTTGGATCGCTACGGAAATTCTGTTGGCAAGACGAAGCAGGCGATTGTCTTGAGCGGTTCCGAGCTTATTACGCTCAACGAGGCCCAGTGGGATCAGCTCTGTGCGTACCAGGAGATTGTCTTTGCAAGGACTACACCCGAGCAGAAGCTTCGTATCGTCAAGGAGTTCCAGGCCAGAGAGAATGTTGTGGGTATGACGGGTGACGGTGTCAACGACGCTCCCTCGCTCAAAGCTGCTGATATTGGTATCGCTATGGGCGGTGGCTCTGACATTGCTATTGAGGCTTCCGACATGGTTCTTCTCGACTCGTTTGCCGCTATTGTCGAAGCAGTCAAGTATGGACGTCTTGTTTTCGACAACCTCAAGAAGACTATTGTGTACTTGCTGCCAGCCGGTAGTTTCAGTGAGCTCTGGCCTGTCGTTACCAACGTTGTCTTCGGTATCCCGCAGATTCTGTCTTCCTTCCTCATGGTGAGTAACACAATTCACAGTTTTTTTAAGCACACAAACTAATGTTCACTAGATTATCATCTGCTGTCTTACCGATTGCGCCGCCGCCGTCACGCTCGCATACGAGAAGCCCGAAGCCGACGTCCTGATCCGTCCTCCCCGCAACATCAAAAAGGACAAACTCGTCAACGCTCGCCTCATCTTTCACGCTTACTTCTTCGTCGGTCTCCTACAATGCTTCCTCGCCTTCACAATGAGTTTCTGGTGGATTGAGCGCAACGGCATTCCCTTCACGGCCATGTGGCTCAAGTTTGGAAACTACGATCCACAATACAGCCCAGAGCTCATAACCAAACTCACAAATGAGGCATCCAGTATCTACTTTGTCACCCTGGTCGTCATGTACGTTTCCCAACCACATCCAATTTTTCGAGACCAAAAGCTAATATCGACAATAGGCAACTTTTTAATCTCCTCGCAACACGTACCCGCCGCCTCAGCGTCTTCCAGCAACCTCCTATTTTCAACAAGGCCACTCAGGTACGCATCTCCATCTCCCGTTTTCTTATTTGTCCAGGGAAACTAACACACACCGCAGAACCTCTCTCTCTTTCCCGCCATGATCTTGGCCATCGCAGTCGCCTTCATCTTTCTGTACATTCCGTCTCTGCAAAACGTCATCGGCACCACCACTGTCCCAGTTGAGCACTGGTTCCTGCCCGCGGCGTTTGGCGCCGGCCTGCTGCTTCTCGACGAAGCGCGGAAGTATTGCGTGCGTAATTGGCCGAACGGCTTTCTTGCGAAGATTGCCTGGTAAATACAAGCGCAAAAGTTTTGCATAACTCGCTTGCAAACATTGCTTAGTAAATATGATAAAATAGACAGTATTGCGTGCGAAAGTAGCTAATTAATGGCCGGCTTGTGCTAATCGCGTGGTGAATGTGATACCCCATCGTCCCGTGAAGAAATGGAATTGTAGGCAGGGCGGGATGGAAATAGCTTTCGAGCAAATAGGCTAAATACAAAATGAACCAAAAAATTGAAGAGATAGATAGCAGGCGAAACACGGCAAGTTTTGTAGGCATCGGAGCGCTGTGCTGGGCTGTGCTGGGCTGTGTGTTTTCATTGCAACTGCAGTTCGCTGTGCTACTTCCTTACTTATCACAACTCGATCATCGCAACTGTAGTTTGCTGTTACTGTTCTGCTGCATTCGCTGCAACTACAGTCAGCGTAGTTCCTTAGTTATTGCCTAAGTACCATATAAGGATCCAAATCACCACGACCCGACATCACTCTTACACTCCCCGCCTCGCTAAACACCTACACTCCCCATGGGCAAAGTCATTTAATTAAAGTCGGTTGTCACGTATTGCCAATCACGTTGCAAGGCCCGACTTAGCCGATTCCCTTCTACAACATGATTTACCAAGGCCTACTGGGAGGTTAATCTCGATGCCATCACCTTTGGCAAGTAGAATGCTGAGATGGAGAACGTTGGTGCCATTCTGGACACTGGTACATCTCTGATTGCTCTCCCCTCGGCCAATGTCTGCATCCCAGGCATGTGCTCATCAGCCTCGTGTCGAAGGTAACTACTAAGTAGGCTAACGATTCACATGCTAACTGGGAGAAACTTATTAGTGGAATCCATCTTGCACAAAGCTAAACAAAAACTTGATACGCCTGTTCGAAAACAAACAAAGCGCGCGCACTGCTATCGTATCTATAACTTTTAGTTATCGCAACCGCGCGTCTGATAACACAGCTGCCGCACCTGTCTGTAGAGAAGAGGGGAGTGTAGGTGCTTAGCGAGGCATGGAGGGTAGGAGTGATGTCGGATTGTGGTGATTCGGATCCTAATATAGTAGGTATCGGGTGGCTGTCGGTTGTTTGTTAGATGCCCTGTTGGAATGCTTTGCGAGCTGGATGGCGAGTGAATGAACACGATGCCGTCGTCTTGCCTATATACTAGGCACGCATATAAGCCCTGGACACTGTCCGTCCCCGTACCCCGCGGGAGGTTTTATCTATGGACGTTGAATTAATCAACTAATCAACCCAAATTCAACAAAGAGCAGTGTAGGTGTTTGACAAGGTAGGGAGGGTAAGAGTGATGTCGGGTTTTTTGTGGTGATTTGGGTCCTGATATCACACGTATATACTATTCAGCTCCAGATACTGCATTACAGTATACTGTACCTTTTTAGATCACGCAGTGGCGTGGTGGAGCTGAGCCGCGATATTGTTATAGTGCCTTAGCTATATAGTTCAGGTTATGTTATGGTAACTAGTTACGTATAATGTGATAGGTAAGAATAAAAAGGTAATTCTTACATATAATAGCTTTCTGCTCACCTCTTCTTCTGTACTATAGGTGAATGCATACTCGTTAGTTAGGCCTTTCCGCCCATAACATCTCGCACCTGCCTTGTAGAATTAGAGGGTATAGTTCATCGCTATTACTCTGAAAAATAATATTCTATTTTAACTAATAAAAATATACTTTTGGTGTTGCGTGGGCGCTTTTGCGATGTTGTCTAGGTGGAGAGGCTACGGCGCTCAGTGGTGAAACACGATATAGTGAATAAAATAGGGACAGCGACTAGTAGCTCTTGTTTTCCTAGAATTGTATCAAATCCTTAGTTCTTCTCGAAAAGCTCCTGCCTACCTGCTCGTACTCCAAGGTCGAATTCAAACTTCTTAGGTTGCGTCGAAATCAAGTTAGCAATTATAAGTTGGTTTACTACTAAAATACAATTAATATTTACATTGAATCCAGAGACGTAATCGTACAGAGGCGGCATTATAACCTCGCCCTCAGGGGACATCTTACATGACAGATCACAGCACCAAGCGATTCTTGAAATAAGGATGTAAAGTGACTGTTCGGCAATGTTTAATCCAGAGCAAATCCTTCGTCCAAAGCCAAATGCACTAAATTTCTGAAGATTCGGATACTGAGTTAGAGGCTCTTTGAATGTTGGCCACCCTTTTTCGAGCCAGCTCTCAAGTCGAAAGTTGTCCGGATCAGGGTATCGATTAGTTCCCCTATGAATAGACCATTGTACTGGATGGAAGTTGGTGCCAGCCGGAAAGAATAACTTGCGGCCATCCTTCATTTCGTACACGTCATCTCGAGTAAGTGCATGAGGCAGCCCACCAGCTGTGACCAGTCGCCATCTGAAAACCTCCTTTGCAACCGCTCTCACTCGTCGAAGACTAGGCATATCATCGAATGATGGAATACGGTCATTTCCAACCACTTCATCAACTTCAGCTTGCAATTTCGTATACTCTGCAGGATGCGAAGTCATGGCTAGCATGAAACTCATCATTGCTGATGCTGTTGTGCCCGCTCCGGCCTCGAAAAGTGTTCCGATTGCGTAAGCCGCGTGATCGTCACTTATATTGTAGGATTCCCTACTTTTGTACCACTTGCCACAAAAATTATCTTCAGCAGCATCTGCGCTACTATTTGCGACACCCTCCTTTAGGGGCTCCCTGAAGAGATCGAGTTCTTCTTTATAGAGCCTAGCAGTTTCCCGTTTGAACGGAGCGAGAAAGGAGGGTAGATAGAGCAGAAAGGGTAACGCATCCACCAAATATGACCCAGGACTGGCAACTCTTTCTATAGTGTACACAACCGCGAGAATTTTCCTGACGAACGTCTCTTCACCCGTTTGAATCTGCTTTGAATAAGCTAAGCGGAGAATGAGTCCCGCTAAATATCTCTCGAACCAGGTCTCATATTTCTCCGGTACTCTCATTAAATCACGGACTGCTCGTAGGCTCTCCTGCTCTAGCAAATGTTGATATGTGACCGCAACGGTAGTGTTTGTTAAGGCATGCATCAATTTTCGTACACTTCGCCGTGTCTCTCCATATGGTAGAAACAATGATCTCAAGTTGCCGCCGACAAGTTGAGCCGCCATAGGCAACTGCTCGCGGTGCTGTAGATTGTACCTCTCTCTCGGAGTAGGTCTTTGGCAATCTCTTCAGTGGATATGATGACATGGTTGTGGCCCGCAATACTAAGTCGGAAGATATCACCATAGCGCGTACTCCAATTCCGGAATTTCAACCAGCTGTGATGACTTGGAATCTGAAGTAGGTTCCCAATAAGTGGTTTTCCTGGCGGACCATCTAGCAGTTGTGTACCTGCTGGCAAATTTCGTTTTGTGTGGAGATAGCTAAAGACGATAACAGCGGATAGTGCCACTAGCGCACTAACAACATCGTTTTGCTTTAAAAAAATGAATAGCGTAGAGGGAATGAGAATTGAAAAACGCGTAAGATGGGGGATGTGTGAGCAATGAAGTGTTTTCCTAGTCATGAGACTAAGTAATACGTGAAGTCTGATGAATTTCTAGATATTTGGTGAAGAGGGGCTGTGGCTGAACGGGGCGTAACTCATTCTACACAAGTCTGGCTATATACCTTCACCTTTAGCCTATGTAGCTCACGTTCTCTAATTAGATATCTATCCCGCATTTGAAGCATTATGCTAGCCTCGAGATCGATCTGAACCCCATGCTCCAGGATCCGGGCTCACTCGAAGGCTGATATGTCTGGCAATCCAAACTTCCGACTCCTCCGGCGTAACGCGCGTACTTCGGCTGAGTGCCAATACGAACAGAAACCGATAGTGCTTACTGGCGTTAACGTGAGGGTGTCGAAAGAGGGCATGCACAAGGGCTGAGAATGCTTGGGGCCCCTTTCATCGCTGTCTCGGTGCTTTAACTAGTGCCGCCCACCTAGAGGGGACATGGCCTCGCTAAACTCTAGCTATACTATTGGAGTGAGTGAAACTCGGAGATAATGGCCAGATGCCGCGGTTCGCATGGCAGCGGAAGGTTTTACGACAGCTGCATCTGCTTTAACTGCGTGTTTTTTATGTATAACTACTTACTAAGAACCCCTAAATTAGTGGGCTTTAGTCGCACCTTACAAACAACGGCCGCAAGTGTGTTGGACGGGATTAGACGATACTTCACGAGTCTTGGTTCGTACTAAGGCAGGTAGTCTTAGTAGTTTAATACTAATAAAGATAATGTGCCGGTGCGCAGGGTTACCAGTGACTCTTGTGCAGGGACTATGGTCTGACCTGATAAGTATAAAACAAGAACTTTTGTATACAATAGATCTGTATTAAATCCTTCTAGTTTATATTTACTATACCTTCTCTACTATACTCTATCCCTAAGCCTGATAGTACCGCGTGCGAACGAGAATAAAGGTAAAGGTATTCGTATCCACCGTAGTAGTACTAGTGGATGCTGCACACCCTACACCTGTTCAATAATTACGAAAAACGATTTCAAGGTAGAGACTCTACTTACTATACTACTTCCCTAATAGCTAAAACTTCAGTCGTAACGTATTAATCTTTGTTCGTTAAGGTATAGTAAAAATAAAGACTTTATGTTCAATTACGCGTATTTCATATATAAAATAAGCACGCTTTAGTGGAAGCATTTCGTCGTATGAACAATTAGTTCTCAGTAGGTCACACCTAGTTGTTTTGATTTTCTGATTTTACTGTGTGTATGAGAGGCTGCCGATTGATGTCGCCCCCCCCCCCCCCCCCCTGCCCAGCGACGGTTGTCGATTGGTGTCGCTCCCCCCACTTTCCAACAGCGGATAGCTTCTGTATCTGACAGTCGCTACAATATTTCGGCTGATATCGGACGCTCACCCGACGACACCAGCGGTGCTGGATAACAGCGAGGTAATTGGTGTCGCATGCATCCAAGAACCACAGGGTGCAGTGATACGCACTCAAAGGTGCTGTATTTGGCCATCTGATAGTGATTGAGTTGGTATCGCCGATGAATGACAGTGGCTGGTTGGCGTCACCCACGAGCGACGGATCCAGATGTCACTAAGCTGCCCGTTGTCGGACGACCCAAATAAGGTAGCAGGCAAGGTAGGGAGAGCGACACCAATCGACAGCCGTCGCTAGCCAGGTGGGGCAACCGACACTAATCGGCAGCCGTCGCTGGACAGCCACACTCGGATGTTAGACGGGCCTGAAGGCAACACCATCCCCCATCAGCCACAGTAGCTAGTCACTGTCCGTCCCAGCCAACACGTCACAGCCGGTGCTTCCATAGCTGGGTAAAGCATCTGCTCCGTATTCGGTGAATGGCAAGCAAAATATGCGCTCGACAGACTTGGTCAATCTTACTTTACGCTTTTCCCTACGAACTTGGTCGCTGAGTAGGGTGAGCGGTTGCTTTCAATGGGCCAACTGCCATGCTGCCTTTCAACAACCCCCGTCACTGAGATACACTCATCTGCAACATCACTTCCGGTAACACCTGGAACTGCCCGTGGAGCTTTCGATCAGCAGGCATACTATGATTTTTTTGTCCAGATACTACCTGGGATCTCCACATACAGATGCCCCACTTCCTTAAACGACATGCCACATGATGACATTCACCACCCACTGAATCCACTGCCCATATAGACGGTGGTACTTAGAGGCTGTTGGACCCACAAGCCTCATGTGCCCTTTTCGGCCTCACGATGGTGTGGCAATTCTTCTTTTGAAAGGTTCAAGACATTATAGGATCTTGGCATGTACGCCGCGTCAACATTGACCTGACTTGGCAGATGTGCAACATCTTCCATCCTGCTGTCGATCCGTGCCCCACATGTCGTTTGAGTTGGTGGGTGAGTTTGCATTATTTCCAATTGGTCTGTCGTACAGAGCTTCTACTGTTCACCATCTTGAATTGGTCACCATGGGACACTCGGTTCTAGCCTCCAGTGACCGGAATATCCACGAACGTCTCACGAATGATACCGAGGCTTCAGAAAGTTCCACTGTGATATAGTCTTTTTCATCGGACCTACCCGGTCAGACAAGAGGGAGCTCTCGATGCAAATTCTGTCGCCCCACAGTCAGCATGCCATGGTCTAGAGTTATGGAACCATACAGGAGGCGAGTGCTCTGCCTATGATATTGCAAAGGTAATATCACCTGCAGCAGTGTTTGATCTGCATATGAAAGTACAGGGACTTTGTTGATCAAGTGGATAGCGTAATCTAACAGGCGTCACCAAACCCGTAACCGGATCTCGTGGTTTGGCTTCAAAGTCTGGTTGACCATCAGCCCATCATGAGACATGATGGAATAGATTGGAAAAGAGACACCCTGTTACCCAATGGTTATTCCCACTCATATTAACCTAATATGGCTCAGCAATGATTGATGACAGCCATCATGTGGTCCGGCAAGTACCCTTCTGGCCGTCCTACCAACGAGCCCCCGCGCCCGTGCCACACGCTTATAAGAGAAAGCTTCATAATATCTGCTTCACATTCTATTCTTCTTGTACCTCCATCATAGCCCATTCTTAAGCCCAATCATTCAAATCTCTGGCCCTCGAGACCGAACCAAGATGCATTGGAGTAATATCATCCTCACTGTGGCGGCTCTCGCTAACACGGCTGTCGGGCAAAACATGTTGCGATTTGCATGCTCTCAGCTCGTCGTTGAGCGTACAGACCCTCTTGTGAATCCTGGCATGAAGTACACTCCACATCTGCACCAGATTGTAGGAGGCAACGCCTTCAACATCACCATGGATCCCTCGATCGACCTCGCAAAAACATCCACATGCACATCCTGCAGCTTCGTACAAGACAAGTCGAACTATTGGACAGCCGTCATGTTCTTCAAAGCCAAAAATGGAACTTATATCCGTGTGCCCCAGGTCAGTAAATACGCCAAACATACCAAATACATAGCCACCATGACTAACTCATAACACACCAGATCGGCAACGGCGGACCCCAGGGCAAGCTCATCAACGACGGCGGTCTAGACGTTTATTACATTCCAAGCGGCAAAACTACCGCCTTCAGAAAAGGTTTCCGCATGCTCGTCGGCTCAGCAACCAACAAAGATCCCAGCAAAGTCAAACTCTCAAACATCTGCCACCGCTGCTGGACCTCCCCCTCCGAAGACACCTTTGTCGGCGGCGCCCCCTGCACCGGCTCTGACACCGTCGACATTCCTAAAGACCCAAAGTGCAAGCTTATCCGCCAGACCATCATCTTCCCCGCCTGCTGGGACGGCAAGAACCTTGATTCACCAGACCACCAGAGCCACGTTGCGTACGGCCAGGGCAGCGGCGCAAATGGCGGTGGTGCATGTCCGTCTAGCCATCCCGTTAAGCTACCGCAGATCATGTACGAGCTCATGTGGGATGTGAGTAAGTTTGCAGACAGGAGTTTGTGGCCGACGGATGGATCTGATCCGTTTGTTTATTCCATGGGTATTGGGTAATACTGCCTCCATTCTTTATTCTCGTACTGGTGGAAGTATGAGCTAACAGGGGATATTGATAGTGGATCCGCTGCCCACGGCGACTACGTGTTTGGCTGGGACGGGGACTCGCTGCAAAAAGCCATGGATAACGGGTGCAATTTGAACAATGCTTGTCCTAAGGCGGGGCTAACGACGCAGCAGCCTGCGCAGTATAATGCTTGTAAGAAGAAGCAGCAGGCGCCTGAGCAGGTGGATGGATGTAAGTTTTGTCTCCTATTTATGTCTGAGCTGCTCGCTTTGTTTATTTCAGTACTGCTATTGGGTATGTTGCACCAACTGACTATAGAATCAGGGCTCAAGTCTTTACCGCTTGGAGACATGCCTATGAGGGCCTAGACACATCTGCCGAGTTGTTGGGGTATTGTTGCTATCGCGGGACTTCATCATGTTAGGCCCCAATTTTCTAGAAATGATGTATGAGGGTTAGCACCACATCCACTTGCACTTTCCGCTAGAAGCCTGCCGTAAATCATAAACCGCTACTGTATACCCAAATGTGACATACATCAATCCATGAATTCACATTCTACAACTGCCCATCAAGTGCCAGCCATACCATATAACCAAGCAAAAAAACTTCCCCATAAATTCAAGCAAACCCCTCTCCTAAGAAGATCCACACAGCAACTCACTTCAACCTCCTCCTTCTACACCCCATTCCTCTCCAACAACACCGCCCATCCCTCATTTCTCCCGGCGCTAAAATCATGCGTAATATAATTATACACATCATGCACCGGGATACTCGCACTTGTCGAACCCGGATTACTCACTTTTCCCTGCGAGCACGCAAATGCCAACCGCCGACTCCCACTCGGTTCAACATATACAGGCCCAGAAGAACCATTGTACGAGGTACACCCCGTGCACTTGACGGTGAATTGCCAGTGCGTGCTGTTTGCTTTGTTACCTTTGGAGAGCGGGGTGTAGGTTGCCGAGGGGTATTGTTGAGGTGTTGAGTGGCCACTAATTGATTTCTGTTAGCATTTTCTTGCCTGTCCTTTTCCCTTGTCTTTGGTTATCAGGGGATGGATTGGGGGGGAGGAAGGGGAAGCAACGTACGTAGCCCAGCGGGAAGACACGGTCGCTTTTTGTCCGTTGGGATAGGAAACTGTGAGTGGATTCCGAACCATGCTGCCGCCCCAGGCAAGGCCGACCCATCCCAGGGAGCTGGGAGCAATGACTTGGAGGACGATGTCGTAGGGTTGGGTTGCGGAAATGTTTGCGGGCTGCGCTATGCGGTAGATGATGTTGCTGGTGAGAGTGGCTGCGGCTTTAGTTTCGGAGAAGGTGAAGCCGGTTTCGGGGTCTTTGTAGCCCGTCGAGCGTGGTGATAGAGTGTGATCGGTTGATGCTGGCCATGCTTGAACTGGTGGGTGGTGTGAGGATAGGGAATGGGTCACTGGTGCTGTACGGCTTACCAAGGTTGACTATGGCCGCGAGGCCGCCTGTGAAGCGCATGATTATCGTTTTGTCTTTCAGTTCATTAACTGGGTGTTGGAGACTCAAATGCTGGCACTGATGCTACTGAAGTGTGAATATTGTCGTGCCACAAGAAATATCTTAAGCAAAGGGATAAACTGATAAGAGGCTCTGAAGTATGCTAAGGTGGTACACGACCACGTTGTTAACTTATATCCACTCTGTAGAGTATACCGCAGCGATATGTGTGCACATGGAAAGGATGAACCAGGATAACAGCAAATTCATCCAGGTTTAGCACGTGTGACAAAAGTAGCCGTGGCCAGGAAGCAAGGTTGTGAGGTGAACAAAGCATGTGGTCATGTCGATAGGAAGTGTATCAATTGCCTATCGAATCAGTTACCAGAGGTCTTGATTGCTTGACATTTTTTATCCAATGGGTTCTCTTTTTTAGAAGTCGGATCTGCGATGTGACAGCCATTCACTGGGTTATGAGTGGCTGACACTTTTATCCGCATAGTGTGTAGAATATAGAATGAGAGATCCATGTACTCAGGAAAGTGAATGAGCCCGAGAGGTAACATACACCGGAGAAAGGTTGGTGCAATGATTTCATCATTGCATTCTCCGGCCCGAGAAGGACTGAAGGTTTGCAGTAAAAGGGCAAGAGACCGGGCCTGAAAAGTCAAAGCACGCGTAGATATCCCAGCTCACAGAGAAGGCTTCTGTTTTGCGACGTTTGATTCACCCGAGCGTGTGTAACTTTGACGTAACATCACAACTTGATACTATAAATTTTGTCTCGCTTGGAAAAACCTCCTCTCCCCACATTTTGCGTGTGGGGCTCTCCATGAAAAGCTCACATGGGCTAATATACTGTGACACAGAAACGCTTCGGGTCACGGAATAGATTGAAAATTGTGGGACACCACCATATCCGCCGCCTAAAGCGCAACATGGGGCGATGTTCCATGTCCAAATTCGGAGGCTGTACGTCAACCTGTATACTACATACCATCTCCTATCCGGGGGTTTAACAAACCGGCTAAGTATCGGAAAAAATAAAACAACTCATAAATACGACTCGTGTCACTTGGGAAGACATATCCAGGTGAAGGTCAGTGCAATCAATGAGACCGTTGATCGTTCTTCGAGGTTTCGAATGAGTAGCGAGTTGTGTTGATTGTAGCAGCTAACGGTCATGCGAAATGCCGTCTCGATCCACATGCATGGAATGTTTGAACATTACAACGGGGTCTGCTTAGCGCTGAGTGAAGCTCTGCAGCTTCTGTGCGAGCATGCATATCGACCGCAAGATACCCATCTTGACTTGGTGTGCGCCTCCAGATCTCGCAAACCAGAATACAGACCCGAGGATAGACGCAATGCCGACACCAACAACTCCGTTGAGTATCTCCGCTTGATTTTGAGCTGCCTTTTGCACCTCAGAGTATCGCATGTTGCTGAATGTTACTCTCGAGTATTGGGTAGCCCATCCAGCGCTGGGAACGTAGATGTACAGTTTCTCCTCGACCCATTTCCTCAAAAGATACAATGGCTTCTTGACATCACTCGCCATCTCACGGTAATTTCCCAGAGCAAGATCATTTATAGCTTGTGCGTCTGGGGTGCGTTGTTTGGTGTATTCACTCAATGCCATGAATCGATCATCGGGGTACTTGTCGATAAACTCGAATAAGACGCGGACATCTTCCAGTCCGGCATTCATTCCCTGGCCGTAGAATGGCACCATGGCGTGGGCAGCATCTCCGAGAATGACACCAGAATCTCCGTAATGATATGGTGTGCACTTGATGGAGATCAAAGGCAGATGTGCGTTCGCCTTGTATTGTTGACGTAGATCGTCTTCGGTAATAAGGTCTGGCACCACGCCTGGGAACTTTTCATTGAAATATTCGACGACCTTTCCAGAGATATCAAGCTCTTCAAACCCCTCTCTTGTCAAGAAGAGCGTAGAGGTGAATGTCTTGTCAAGGTTTGGCAGGGCAATGAACATGGATTCATCTTGAGGCCAGATGTGTAGGTAGCCTGGAGGTATTCGAAAGTCTCCATTTGGTCCGGCAGGGACGTGAAACTGGCACCAGAGCTTGTCAATGTATTCCTGATGGAAATACATGGGGACAAACTTCATGAGATGGTATCGCACGGCTGAGTGAGCACCGTCTGCACCAATCATGAGGTCAAAGCTCAGCTCAAACTCATCACCCTGCTCTTCGGGAGAGTTGGGGCGATATTCAAACCATGCAATCTTCTTCTTGAAGTCTGCGCCCACCAGTTTATGGTTGAACATGAGCTTCACATTGGGCATAGCCTCCAGATGATCGAGAAGGGTTTTGTTCAGACCAGTTCTGTCCATGGCCAACAAACTCTGGTGTCATCAGTACAACCCCGAACACATGATGCCATCACACTCACTCGTCCCCTTGCATCGTAGGCTTGCGCTTGACGAACGTATTCTCCATTTTTTCGCACATGGATCATACGGCCACCCATGGGGTACGTCTCGGCTAGTACTGCATCTGCAAGGTCCGATAGGCCCGTTTTACGCAGAGAATGAATACCGCGCTCGGAGAGAGCAAGATTGATAGACTTTGAGAGAGTGAGTGGAGTAGTCTTGGCCTCGCGAAGATCTGGTTAGTGTCAGCATGGATGGGTATTAGGACCGAGATGGTTTGCGGGTATGATAAGGCTCACCTGCTCTCAGTTCATACACTTCAACCTCGAATCCACGCACGGCAGCGTACAGGGCCGCCAAGGAGCCTACCGGCCCAGCTCCGATAACAACCAGTTTCTGCGTCATGGTAATGGAAGATGGTGGGAGAGAGTGGAGAAAACTTGAACCAAATATCCGCAAGTCCCGTGATCCGAAGCTAGAGCACGGGATGAAACGACCAAAGAGCAGAAATTTAGGAGCATGGTGGGTATTTAGAAAAGCTGAGGGGTAAACGTGATGAAAATTGTCATCCCACGGACAAAAGCTCAAAGAGTCAGACAAGATGTCAAGGTATCACTGATGATGCACGTCAAGTCCTAAACGGGCAAGCGCAACTGAAGCGCGCGGGAAAGCCTTAGTCATCAGCGATCGGCACTCGGCGAATCTGGACCCTTGCAAACGAATACGGATCTGAGAATGCGGCGGCGGAGTTGGCAGCGAACAGAACATTCATCACGCAATTTTTGCGCCAACCCACCTTTGCCGTAGAAAGTGCTACAGCACGCTAAGGATAGGATCGGCTTAAAGTCTAGTCGTAGGCGACGTCTCCAGTCCACCCTCTGTCATAGCTCTCTTACACGACTAGTCTCTGCACACAGCACACAATGGCTGCAGAGGACGCCCCGCGCAAATGCTCAGGCCAGGACTGTGAAAACGACGCCAGCGCTCTGCAATGTCCAAACTGCCAGAAACTCGGAAAGGAGAGCTACTTCTGTTCCCAAGAATGTTTCAAGCGCAACTGGGTACATAGTGAGATCGCCCATGTGAGACAGAACAGTATCTAACCACCGCGCAGGGTGAGCATAAGAAGGTGCACAAGTCACAAAGTAGTATTCTCTCCAATATCTTCACGCCGAAAGTAGTTTCTCACCCGGATCCAGCCACAGGCCACTACAACCCATTTCCTACCTACCCATACACCGGGGCTCTCAGGCCCGTATACCCGCTGTCACCGCGCCGAGAAGTTCCAAAGCACATTCGATTGCCAGACTACGCGAAAGATGGAATCCCGCGGTCCGAACAAGTATTTGTCAACAGGAATAAGATTACCATTTTGAACAAAGAAGAACAGGATGCCATGCGCAAAGTGTGCCGATATGGACGCGAGATATTAGATATCGCGGGCAGAGCTGCGAAGCCCGGCGTCACCACAGACTACATTGATGAAATTGTCCACAAGGCCACCATTGAGCGCGATGTAAGAGAGACCAACGCAGGCCATGGATATACAAAGCTGACAAGCGCAGTCTTACCCATCACCCCTCAACTACTGCAATTTCCCAAAGTCCGTTTGCACGTCGCTTAACGAGGTCATCTGCCACGGCATTCCCGATCAGAGAGTACTGAAAGACGGAGACATCCTCAACATCGATATCTCTGTCTACCACGGCGGTTTCCACGCGGACCTGAACGAGACCTACTATATTGGAGACAAAGCATTGGCAAATCCAGACGCCGTACGGGTCACCGAGACTGCGCGAGAATGCTTGGACAAGGCCATTGAAATCGCAAAGCCAGGCACTCTTTTCCGGGAATATGGCAACGTCATCGAGAAGCATGCCAAAAGCAAAAACTGCAGCGTGATCAGGACGTATTGCGGACACGGTGTCAACCAGCTTTTCCACTGTGCACCCAACGTTCCTCATTATGCGAAGAACAAGGCAGTTGGGCAAGCGAAGCCGGGAATGTGTTTCACAATTGAACCTATGATCAGTATTGGAACACACCGAGATAAGACATGGCCGGACGATTGGACAAGTGTAACCCAAGATGGTTCACTGACGGCGCAGTTTGGTGAGTTCTCGCTGGGATATATCTTTTCTTGTTTCCAGAAACTAATGCAGTATAGAACACACTCTACTCATAACAGAAGACGGCGTAGAGGTACTGACGGCAAGGTTACCGGACTCACCCGGTGGCCCTGTGCCAATGCCGACTGCCACCAGCAACGAATCAAACGGGGAGGCAAAAGCTGACTCTTGAACGGAATGAGACAGTCGCAAGGGAGTCTGAATAGAAACCTGCCAAACAATAGGATAGTTGAGTTGCGACGAGGCTAAGAGTGCAGCTACCCATTCATATCCCGCAAGCCATGATAGTAGTCTCGTATGCACCAGGCCGGCCTGCGATGGCCGGCGCTAACACTTGCCATGTCAACATAGTGATAGCGTCTCTTGTGCCGGAACAGTTGTGGCGGCGCAAAGCTCAAATGGGCCATTATCCATCACATGAGGCTCCAGTCAGACGAGGGTGGCCCGCCTGCGCTCTCACAAGCGAAGCGAAGGACGCTAATGGCCATGCTTGCTGTGTCCAGGGAAGCATCGCCTCAACGTCATCCAAGCATCTGTGTCTGTTCTTACTCTGCTCTGAATTCTGAGGCGCTTGTTACTCGCCATTTCTCTGTGCTGCTGTACACTACCATTGCGTTTCCCTCGCAGTTGCCCGTCCCGTCTCCGACGTCATCGCAACTTCCATCCAGGCCCCGCACACAAGCTAAGCTTCCCGCGTCTAGCCCCGGCAGCCCGCAAACACACGACCGCATCCGAGCCTTGGGCATCTCTCGCACACTTGTTCAATCGCGCCCCCAGCCACCGACCAGCGACGCTGCTCGTCTCCTTCGCAAGCCTTGATACTATCGTCGTCTTACTCCGTACACTACCACCACAATGACTGGTGAAGCATGGCTGTATTTGTTGGCGGTGTTGATAAACGCCGTCAACCTATTTCTCCAAGTCTTCTTTACCATCATGTACAGCGATCTTGAATGGTGAGCAGCTCCCGGGAAAGCGGCGTTGCATACAGACGATACTGCAGAACCCTGTTGTTGGGCAGTAGCTAATTTTGCGCCAGCGACTACATCAACCCCATCGACCTCTGTAACCGTCTCAACACCTACATCATCCCCGAAGCCGCCGTTCACGCTTTCCTGACCTTCCTCTTCCTTATCAATGGATACTGGATGGCTCTGGTGCTGAACCTGCCCCTCTTGGCATGGAACGCGAAAAAGTGCGTGCCGCCCACGCCAACCCATGTGATAAGAGTGACGTTGCTGATTGTCCCAGGATCTTTGAGAACCAGCACCTACTGGATGCAACGGAGATCTTTAGGAAGCTTAATGTGCACAAGAAGGTAGGAGAATCACAGAGTCTGGACGTGTTATGGCGCAAGTGGCTAATGTATACGCACTTAGGAATCCTTCATCAAGCTGGGCTTCCATCTGCTCATGTTCTTCTTCTACCTCTACAGCATGATCGTTGCTCTTATCCGCGACGAGTCTCATTAGTTGTGGACTGCGCCACTGTACCAGCTCATGCCCCAGACTGTAGTGTCGTCACGGGAGGTACTCATGTTCCTACACATGTTCATATGGACTGCTGTTGTTTACTGTGTCTTTGTGGAAGCAACGTCTACAATGGACCTATGAAAAGCGGTTGACCCATGAGAAGCGGTACTGGCAGAACAAGAAGAATAAGGAGAAGAGGCATTGATATCCAGCACGAATAGTAGAGCCATGAGTACACGAGGGTATACGGGAATGGGACTTGGACGGATCGATATCCTTACGTCGAAACGAATAGCGTTAGATTAGTGTATTGTAAGATGCATCAATTACTGAAGAGCAATTGGGCATCAAAACGAATTTCTTTTCGATTTTCTGAGACTGCAATAAAGAGCCTTTAAGTTTTGGTGCCGAAGAGACTTACTTGAAACCTTCTCCTTGGTTGAGTGCTGCGAAAACCAATTTCTGAGCCAAGTCTCGTATCTAACCATTTCGCCCTTCATATAAGTCAATACCAAATAATTACGAAAATGCATTTTAGTTTTCACGTGCAAGGGGAAAGGCTTGGCATGCTTAGTCACCCGTATTTTATGACGAGGCAGCTTTCCCCAGATTTCCAGATTTCCTTCATTCAAGACTGCACCTCACCCGCTCTCCGTCTGCCGCACCTATACAACCTACACGACCACGAAACTATCGAAGAATAACATAAACATGGCTGGGGGAGGCTCCGGTAGAGTCCCAACCGGTTTCGCGGCAGAAACATACATCAGCGATCATACATTCCGACAAGGTCAACGTTCGATCGAAAGCGGAGAGGGGTCCAAGAAAAGAAAGCGCGAGGCCAAGGGCGACTCAAGTATTGTGAGTGGATCTGGCGCATACAAAGGGCCCTGGGCAAAATACGAGGAACAAAGGCCAGACGCCGCCTCGGACGACGAGTTTGGGTCAGATGTGGAGGTGGAGATAGTGTACGAGGAAGACGAGATTGTCGACAACTCTGCGACCGCGCCCAAGAAGCTCGCAGGCACAGACTACCGCGATACCGAGGCCGAGGGCGAGACGAGTGAATTCGTTGGCAGCCAGCAATACGACTACCAAGGACGGACCTACATGCACGTACCTACGGACCTCGATATCAAGCTCATTGGCGACTATGAGCCAAAGAACTTTATACCAAAGAAGCTTATCCATACCTACAAATACCACACGAAGTCGATTACCCAAGTTCGCTTCATACCTGACAGTGGTCACCTCCTCCTCTCTGCTTCGGCCGACTCCAAGATCGCGCTATGGGACGTGTATCACCAGCGCGAGTTGCTGCGAACATTTTCCGGGCATACGAAGTCGGTTGTCGATATTGATTTCAATCCTAGCGGTACGCAATTCGTGTCCGCTAGCTATGACCGCTACATGAAGATATGGGACACGGAGACTGGCAAGTGTCTGAATAAGTTCACAACTGGAAAGACACCGCACGTCGTGCGCATCAATCCAAGCATGCCGCACGAGTTCTTGGCTGGTATGAGTGATAAGAAGATCATGCAGTACGACACAAGAAGCGGAGAGATGGTGCAAGAATACGATCACCATCTGGGGCCTGTCAACACAATCACCTTCTGCGACGAGAACCGCCGATTCATCACAACATCCGACGACAAGTCCCTCCGCGCATGGGAATACGGTATCCCTGTCCCTATCAAGTTCATTGCTGAACCGTATATGTTCTCCATGGTCCGCTCCTCACCGCATCCGTCTGGCAAATACGTTGCCTTCCAGTCGTCAGATAATCAGATTACGGTGTACAGTTCGACAGACCGCTTCAGACAGAATCGTAAGAAGAGCTACAGAGGGCACAACGTGGCTGGATATGCACCCGACGTGGCAATCAGTCCTGACGGGCAATTCATCAGCTCTGGTGACAGCGGGGGTTTCATTTGTTTCTGGGATTGGAAGACGTGTAAAATGTACCACAAGATCCCAGCCAGCGATGCGCCGGTGCTCGCAGTACAGTGGCATCCAAGGGAGACATCGAAGGTTGTGGCTGGAGACCTCAATGGTGCGCTGAAATTGTATGACTAAGCGTGGGTGCGTACGAGATGTACGGTAGAAAAAAGAGGGCGATAAAGTAGCGATACCCAATGTGTTCAATGCCAATTCCGATTTCAGAGGGCGAATTCCTATGCTTCGGTGCACACTTTCCGACTGCGCCAAATGAGAAATATACGGTTTGGTCCTGCGTGGAAAGACGTTGTGCGTCATGTCTCCAGCAGTTTTCCGGCTATGCGCAGGCGAACATATGCGCACTTGCGCGATCACAGCCGCAATCCCCGTGCTATCGTAGTTTGAGTCAATAGATGACTTGTATCCACGTGAATGGCGTGTGAGCCTTGTCCGCATGGACGGTTGGGTGCATGCAGCAACCCCCGCTAAAGCCGACTGCGCCTTCGGTTCGCCCTCGACGACGCCCTTTTTCCTCTCTGCCTCGTTCTTCCCATCCACTCAATCTCCCTGTTTCAAACATCATCGGAAACCGCCGAAACTCTTTTTTTTTTTCATTTTCTTCTTTCCCCTGATACACTACGGTGATCGTTTCAAGGACGATGCCTCTAGGCATCCGTGTTCTAAGCCCCCCACGCCATACCTTCTTTGGCACACCGGTGACCGCAAATGCTCGCCAGCAGACCTTCTCCCTCTTACCATATTCCCAATTCGAATGGCTGAAGCCTGAGGACCAAAGGCGACGTCACTGGACTACGCATATGCACCCTTTTCCGTGACGCCTTGTCATAGGCCTCCTTGCTTATCGTGCCTTGCAGCCATACATGCAAGTAATTGCCTGGACCGTGACCGGCCGTGACGCGTTCATAGTCGACAACTGAACATGGCTTCCTTCTGGTGAACTTGCGCAAGCATGCATGTACACACGATGACTCTTTTTCTCCCTCATACCGGTTTGGGCATACCGTAAAAATTGTAGCCTAGCCTAGTCACTAATTCCCTTTCTTCTCTTGCCATTTTCTGACGCGGTCGGGACTTGGGAAGAACGACATAGCCACGCCGGGTGTGAATCATCGGTCCTCCCTAGGGCGCACTATCCACTCACACGTGAGCCGAAGCAAGCCAGGTATTCAGGCAACTATGGTAGCAGTAGGAAGAGAAGCAAAAATGTTGCCGAGTTGACTAGTAGGAGGATTTACGTGAGTGGATGAAGCCCTAAATGGCGGCCTCAGGTAGGTTGTCTGCCTGGAATAAATAGTCTATCGAGGGTGTACTCTTTTTTTCTTTTACCATACTCGACTCAAAGCAATCAACTCGATCAAAGATATATATCACGTCCCAAACAAGTCAGACAACAAAGACACTCACACCATACCATACCCTTTCACATCCAACACGAGTTCCCCAAGCGCCACCAACACTACATCACCAACCGCAACCATGTCCTCGTCATCATCATCATACTCGTACACATCGTACACCCCGCAAAAGGGCACCTCATACTCGCGCCCCTCCACCTCATCAACCAGTAAGCTTATCTGCTTCCTCCCGATATCAGAACGCCGATGCTAACAACCCCGTCAGCATACTCAACCTCCTCATCATCATCATACCAGAGCTACTACACACAATCCGGCGCAAACACCACCTCGTCATCGTCGCGGAGTCAGCGCTACAGCAAGCCACCAATCATCCACAATGGCGGAGGCAAGATTAACGACCCCAACACGTCGACTTCGGCACCAAATGGCGGATACTACACTTGAATTGTAGTCTTGTCGTTTTCTTTTCTTTCTTTCTTGCTTTGGTTTGGTTTGACTATGGGATGACGTTTTGTTTTTCGTGGAATATTTGGAGTTCTTGGGATTAAGGGAATCACTACACATCAAGGATTGGGACTTTGGAGTTCGGAAGACTTGTTTTTTTGGGGGGGAGGGATTTCTTCGATTGAGCATGGGATGGGATTCATCCAAGGTTCTTCATTGAGCTAGATGGAGACGAGAATTTTCTTGTTTGTTGCAATGGCTAGTTGGGTTGAGAGAGTTGCCGGATTTTTTTTCTTTGCTCTGATTGCTGGAAAGAACGGTATCTTACTCCCCTCCAAGATGGAGTCGCTATAGTCGCATTACTCATGAGTACATGTATATTAGGATAGCTATCTATGATTGATTCATATTACTACACCCGCATTCTCGCATTACCTCTACATTCAACCTCCTAACACCATAAAGCATTCCCACAACTTATCTAGCTCCCAACAGCCCCATACCACCCCATCCCCAACACGGCCCCAAATAAAATCGCCATAGCCGGCGGAACCCCAAACCACGCCGTCTCAGCATACGCCAACGCCGCAACAACAACCCACCACGGCTCATCCGCCAAACTCTTCCCACTCCCACTCTCGGGCGTCAGATACCCAATCTCCCACAACCTATACACAGCCGTAAACACCAACCCCACCGCCGTCGCATTAATCCCGCGTAGCAAACTCACGACCCACGGCTTCGTCCTGAGTACCTGCCAAAACGACTGCACTCCCACCGCCAGCACTATCCCGGGAGCAAATATGCCCAGAAACCCCAGTATCGCACCTACAATCGTCGGCGTAGAGCCTGGCGCCGACGCAATGGCAAGAGCGCCTAGGTACACTGCGAAATTGAAATTCGGGCCTGGAAACGCTTGGATGAGGGCGAGACCGAGGAGGAAGTTGCGCGGGGTGACCCAGCCGGGGTCTACGACGTAGGAGCGTAGCAAGGGGATTACGACGGGGCCGCCGCCAAAGATGATGGTGCCCGCTAGGTACATGTTTGAAAAAAGGTCGAAGGGGCGGGAGGTGGAGGTTAGGGTGCCGCGGAGGACCATGATGGCGATGAAGGAGATGGTGAAGGTTATGATGAGGGTAGCACCGAATTTGACAGAGATTTTGTGGGATTTTATTTCCGATTGAGGTGGTTCGGGGGTGTGGGGTGCGGGTTCATGGTGTTGGTGTGAAGAGAGGTCTTCGCGGGAAGACGTAGCGTCGTCTACTGTTGAGCTGCCAGCTTGCGGTCGCCGCTTGACTGCTTGAGGCCGCGTGAGCTCCACAGGAGGTGTCTGCTGAAGACCCGCATGTTGAATTTCTTCTTCGGCATCGCCTTGTTCGTTTCTTGCGCGGCGGCGTTGGGCTTGATATCTCGCTTTCATCTTGCCTACCCATCTCATGAGCCAGATATCCCAGATCACAGTTGCCACGCCACCACAGACAATCAGGACCGGAAAGTACCACAATGCGTTGTAGCACAGTCCTGCGCATGCGCCAAAAATGACGAGTATCCGTGTTATTTTGTCTCGGATGGCTTTCTCGGCCAATTGTACGGCAGCCAGCGCAATGATGCCAACGGTACTAGCGTTGAGACCAGAGAGCAAAGCGTATACAATCGACGGGAGGCGCTCAGGCATCTTTTGTACGCCGAGTGAGAGCGCGTACATTCCAATTGCGCCAGGGAGACTCCAGAGCATGAAGGCGAAGATGGCGGGGATCATTCCAGCGTGTAGGAGAGCGATACAGAAGCACATTTTTGTCGATGCAGGACCGGGAAGTGCTTGACATATTGCGAAGAGCTCTTGATACTGGAGTAGCAAGGTCAGTTTTAGATCAATTCTTCGCTTTGCATCTCTATTTCAGTGTCGAACCACACCTGTCGTCTGAGTCCTTCCCTATTCAACACGGTCATACAAAGAAAGTTACTCACAGCCTGTTCGTCCAGCCATTTCCTCCCAGCCACACCCTTACCCTCCACAAAGCGACGATGCAAAATCTGGAAATGCACAGGCGGCCCTCCAAATGACGTGAACCCCAGATCCCACATTCTGAAGAAGACATCAAGAAGGCGGTCTGCAAGAGTATCGTTGTTGCCTCGCACATCTGATGATGGCTCATGCGGCGTTGAGGACGGGCGCAGACGCCTCAGCGAACCTATAAGGGATTGTAACGACATTGAGAATACCAGATAATGTGTAGGACGCTGGTGTAGGATCAATGGTGCTTGAACAAGATAGCCATTGTTGTCGTTGGGATGGCTCGAGCCAAGCCTCAAGCGATGATGCCATTCGCTCTAAAACCCCATGGCTTTACTGGAAGAACTGTGAGCTCAGCATGATGGTGTGCAGGCGCGAGCTTAGTTTCGCGGTCGAGCTGAGTATGCATGTCACCGGGAGCCTATGATTGGTCATTTGGGTTCCCTTGCCTGTCTCTACGATGAATGATAGTTGCAGACGCTCCCACGTGCAAGTCTAGAAGCGAGTGCGAGGGGCTGGGACGAGAGTGGAGCTGTGGAGCCATGGGAACAAGCGCGTCGGCTCGTTTGCCGTCGACATCGCTTCATCGCAACAACATCACGCCAAAGCAGAGCATTCAGACATTTCTTAATCTTTACATTCCTTGTTGAATCCTCACATGATTCGTCGTGGTCAATCTCTGTGATTCCCGACATGCTTCAGATGATCATTCAGATCTCTGTCCTACCCAACCCATATTAACGCCTTCGCTTCTTGCGTTGAGCCGTAGCTCAAACATCGATCGCATCGACCGTAACGCCTTTGACCCAAGTATACTGCATAACACGGGCGACCTCCAGGGCCGAGTCGTGGGATGCGAGAGAGCCTACCAAATACAAGCTGGCATCGAGACCAGCAGTCACACCACCAGTGGTGATGACACGCATACCGCCAAGGGGCATGGAGGCACGCCTAGCGATGGACTCGCGGCGGCGAGAGTCACGCCAAGCATTGCTGCCCTTGCGAGCTATCGACTTACGACGAGCGTGGCCCATGTTGGTGCCTTCAACAGGGCTCTGAGGCTCGCGAGACTTCTTAATGATGTATCTATAAGGGTCAGCTGGTGGCATGTCGAAGCGGCGGGCATTTGACTCACGGGTTCTCCTCGGGGTTTTCACCCAGATCGAAGCGAGCGTTGTTGACGACGTATCGCTCCTCCATGACATCGGTACGCATGGACATGTCCCGCCTAGCCGCATCTTGACAGATGGTCTCAAGGCGGACGTAGTAGTCGGGGTGGGTTGTAGCAGCGAGGCCCTCGAGCATGCCTTGCTGAGCAAGGAGCAGGGCACCCACATCGATGGCGAGGATGGTGCGTTCTTTGACAGGATTCTTCTCTTGAAGCTCGACGTACTTGGTGAGGAGGTTCAGGGGCTCAGATTTGTTCTTGAGCACCTCGAACACGCCCTCACCACCGGGAACGATGATGACGTCGAAATCATCGAGCTCGTTGTTGGCATCCTGGGTCATTGAGTCAGTACGGCTTCGGGAGATGTTGCAGGCAGCCACATACCTCGTAGTCCATGTCGGCCTTGATGGTGAGACCCTGGACAGAGGTCATGGCCGCTGCGGTGCCAACGAACTGGCAGGCGAAGGCCTTGCTGGCTATGGGATGTTAGCCAGAGACCAATTGGCCCACGATAGCCCAGCTCATGTCGGAGCACGTAGGATATCTAGATGGTTGACTTACTGGAGTCTTTGGGGTCCTGCAGGGAACGGCTCAGTACTTCAAGGGGGCCGGCCACGTCGAGCGTGTTGTACTTGTCAAAGAGAGCAAACAACACCTTGACCTGCTCGACGCGGCCATCGGTGTTGTCTGCAACTGCACTCATCTTGAATGATTTGATGTGAATAGGATGGATTGGATTGAGTTGATGAAGGGATGGAACATCAAGGTTTTATATGAAGGAGAGAAGCAGCAGTTGGAGCGAGCGAAGCTCTTTCAGCCGAGAGGGGTAGCTCTCCTCGATCTCGTGAGCACCGCGTCACTGTCTGGCGAGTCCCTTCCCCAGATATGCAACCCCGCATCGCACGGACCATGAAACTACCCAAACGGGCATGGTCGAGCGGGGCTCTAGGGCGATCCCAGTTGCGGACCACTGAGCCTTCGGGCAGATCCAGAGACTATTCGCGTGCCTGCTTGGCCTGACTGCGTTCTCAAGGCTGTGATAGTAGCAAGCATCTCGGAACTCCAATACGACATGTGTGTGAGACAAAGCCAGGGGATGCAATGCCATTGACCGTAGGCCATGTTGCGGACATTCATCCGAGCTATCGCGCACAGACCAGTCGTTCATAAGCTACCCATGCCACGCGACGTCTAGTTGCAATAGAATGAAGACTAAACCTACTCAGAAAGCCTTGATAATATATAAATGAACATCAATATAACACCCTCACCTGGTAACAGTCTTGTCTATCCGTCCTCTACGCTTTGGTAGTTGCAAAGTTGAACTGAAAGCAGATTACTAAGACATTACAATGACATGGTAGTCAACCCTCGAAAGAGGCGCAGGGGACTGGAGGCTACTAGATGATGACCTAAAGATTGCATGTATCTAGTGCCAGATATAGTGCAGGGGCTTGCGAGGCGGCTGGAAAGAGTGAGTTTTGCAGCGTCTTGGCCAAGATGAAAAGACGATCGGTAATAACGTTGAATCTTCGGAACAAAACCCCAAATAGAAAAGATGTCAATGTCCTGTGGAAATCTAATTGAATATTCATCATTGTTGCTCAATTCATCCTGACATGTGTCGACTGGCTAATGGGGGATGACATGGTGGGCTGGCTGGCATAGTGGAGAGAAGCGCACGGACGCGCATCATGGCGCGACATCGTCCAGAGTGCGACGTTGACAACCCCAACCGCAACATGGCGGCACCAACAGACACTGACGCGTCGCCGACGGGCGGTTCAAAGCAGGCACTGTCCTCGTCTTCGGAGACACCAAAATTGGCTGCTAAGGCGCAAAGGCAGCCTCCACCAGAGACAAAAGAAAGCCTGTGGCTACGACGATGGTCAATTGTCTCCTTTTGGGCTGTAGTCTTGTTGCTGGGACTGCCAGTATGGCTGAAGACTACAGCCATCTACCGGGCAGAATTGCCACTGCAGGAGATGACAGACTGGGCTGAGGCAAAGGTATGCTTTACACCGAGCGCATCCAATCTCCGTGACCCAAGTTGACACGATTGCAGGTCTGCAAGCCAGTCTTCCCTTTGCGCATAGCTGTCGAGGCCCCGATTCCCTCACTCGATGCTCAGCACCTCATTCGCACCACCCAGCATGCTCTCGACGATATCAACGACTTCTCCGCACACCATCTCCGTTTGATGCTCGCTGATCCGCCCTTACAACCCAATGCCTCTCAGCAAGTAGTAATCAGTGACGGAACAAGCATTCCTAGCGAAGACACGGACGTTGTCCTAGTCATCCGCCTGATACCTGTCGAAACCGGTACCACGCCCCGTTCGCAGCTGCAGCCCTACTCTCCTACGCTGGACGTTTACTATTCGCCCAATCAAATACCTTCACAGTCCTCAACCGGCTCGAGCCTGGCTACCTTTCTCGCTCAAGAGCTGCACAACATCTTTGCTGAAGAGCAGGCCCAATTGGCTCACGTACTCTCAACTTCCTCTCGCACACATGCTGCCAAGATCAAAGCCCTCTCTCCCGAAACGTCCGCTGAGCTCCAACGCCAATCCACTCGCGCACTCAAGTATGCTCCCACATACCATTTAACCTTTTCCCTCTTCAGCCCGTCATATGCGCCTTCGAGATGGGATATTGAGACAGCGCTCGAGAAATACATGAGCCCCCTTCTGGAAGCTTTATCAGCTATTAGCAACTTCACTGTCGATACTCAAGTCCAGCTTTATGCTACCTACACACCCTCCATCCGACAGCCTGAATACGACGAAGAAAAAAAGGCGTGGACACTCCGCAAAGAAGATCTGAGTGGATTTGTAAACGCTGCCGAGTGGCCCCTAAGCCCCAGCATTGGCGAGGGACCAACTGTCAATTTCATTCTCTACGTCCCGGACCGTGCACAATCGCCACTATTAGTAAAAGAGAATGGCGGGAACAGCTGGCTTATTCCACAATGGGGAGGTGTCCACATCCTTAACCTAGAAGGGAAGTCAGATACGCCACCCGAGCTTACTGCAGAAATGCTTGCACCCGCCATGCACACCTTTTCAAATCAGCTCATCTCACTATTCGGACTGCCCCAAAGCCCAGCATCGTTACCTTTGCGCATATCAACCCTGGAACGCGTGCGAGCCGCCTCACTCATTTTCTCTGCTTCCTCTACCTTGGGCGCCTTGGCTCAGGTGTATCAGAAGCTCCCATCTATCCCAGTTCCTGACAATGTAGCCCAGTCTACACATCGCACTATCGCGAATCTACATCAAGCTTGCGACTATCTTCGAGATGGTCGGTTTCCCAGTGCGTTAGAACACGCCCGGACTGCAGAGGTAGAGGCTGAAAAAGCTTTCTTTGAACGCTCCATGGTTGGCCAAGTGTACTTTCCAGATGAGCACAAGGTCGCCGTGTATCTACCTTTGCTAGGCCCTATCACAGTTCCTCTCGTCATGGCTGCGCTGAAGGAATTGAAATCCGCATTGAAGCGAGCCTGATCTCAGCGCTGAAATGCGCGCCAAGTAGAGTCTGAGACCTATAGCAAGGACGCCGAAGTATCCGTTTTGCCTTGAGCTTACCGGATGTGTTATCTGGTCCGTATCAGACTTCACTCTTCGTGCGAACTTTACATCTTGCAATTGTCCGCAGCACCATACTACGCACTCAACGACTGACCAGAAGTCATATATATAACATCATGAGTGTGTTGTAGGGTGGGTGTTCAAAGACGATGTTCTTACACAATCCTAGCACCATACGTATTTGTGCTCAAGATACAGCAAGGCGTCCTAGGTTACCTTCGGGACTATCCCCGCTGCGGGGTAGTATAGGCTCCACCATGACTACGTTCTTGGCTGATGGGCTGCCACTCAATATTGAATCGACTTGGTAGATCTCACCCTGAGTTGTTGCCGGCAATTACCCCTCGTTATACTAGCGATTTTACCTATAAATTCACATATCTTGACTTGTTTCTCACTCGTACTTTGCATTCACCTTACACCATTTCAACCAAGGATTTCTGTCACCATGTCACTCACTCCTCAAAGCATAGAGAGTATCAAAGCCACGTTAGACAGCTTTGTCAAAGACGGCTCACCAGGTCTTGTCTTCCACGCTGTTGATAAATCAGGCAAGACTCTGGTCGAACATGCCTCGGGTACCCTCGGAGTTGACTCAGACCAGCCTATGGATGCTGATACCACCCTTTTCTGGATTGCTTCTTGCACAAAGCTCGTCACAGTCATTTCGGTACTCCAGCTTGTTGAGCAGGGTAAAATACCTCTAGACGACGCCGAATTCGTCAAGAAAATTGCACCTGAGCTTGCAGACAAGAAAGTATATCCTGATGGCGTCAACACTGTGGAGAAAGAGAAGGAAATCACCATGCGTATGCTGCTTAGCCATACAGCAGGATTTGGATATAGGTTTGCCGACGCAAGAATTAAGCAAGACGGCATCGAAGGGAGCCATGGAGACAAGAACGACATTCTCAATGCGAAGCTGCTGAATCAGCCCGGTAGTATGTTTGAATACGGTGTAAGTCTCAGCAACCATAGCGACATGCACAAGTTACAATGACAGCTAATACATGGCACAGGTCAACATCGACTGGGCCGGTATCATCCTCGAGCGAGTAACCGGCCAACTTCTAGGCGACTACTTCCAACAAAACATCTTCACACCCCTCGATGTCCCCGCCGAAGGCGCAACCATGTTCCCCTCGCCCAGCCTCCAAAAGAACCTCGCCCACATGCACCAGCGCGACGCCTCCGGCACCCTCCACGAAAAACCCCACCTCTACATCGGCCCCCTAAAATGCCCGGCCGAGAAGCAAAAAGACTTCCTCCAATCCGGCGGCGCAGGCCTCTTCTCCAAACCAAAAGAATACGTCAAAATCCTCGCCGCAATCCTAAACAACGGCACTAGTCCCCACACCAACAAGGAGATTCTGAAAAAAGAAACCGTGGATCTCATGTTCGAAAACCAGATCCCAGACCAACCGGATTTCGCCCGCGCGGAAGTTGCGCCAGCGAATCCGCTGCTGCTCAACCCGGGTAAGGAAATGTATCCTCAGCCGGGGAATCCGCCGCAGGGCTGGGGTTTTGGTGGCTTCTTGACGATTGCGCCGGGGCAGACGGGGCGTGGGGCGAATACGCTGTGGTGGATGGGACTATGCAATTGTTTCTGGTGGGTTGATCGGGAAAAGGGGGTTGCGGGGATGCTTGCGGCACAGGTGCTACCGAATGGAGATGGCAAGGTTATTCCGGCGTGGGTGATGGCTGAGAAGGGGGTTTATGATGGACTGGCATCTTCGTAAAGAAGCTCTTCACGAAGAGTTGAAATCAAAGTAGTAGTAGTTGTTGTTGTTGTTATTTTATTTGGAAAGGGAGAGTCTATTGTTTAGAGGTTTGGAGATCGTTGCCTAGAATCCCGACTACCCCATCTACATCTTTCATCCCTTCTCTCCCTTGTTTCTCCACGACATCGGCGAGTTCTTGGAATACGTCTGCGATTTCGCGGAATACACTTGCTTGTTGCCAGCCTCCTTCTCCTGCAAAACACTCGCCTATTTGCCTCATTTCTTCAACCCACCGGTATGCCTTGTGTGTACACCCCACGATGCCTCTTTCGGCTTTGAGCCGCGCATGGGGGTTGTACTGATCCATGTAGTCTTTCAGTTGGGGTAGCACACCGAGCGACGAGGCAGTGGTAAAGGACTGCAAAGAAAGAGCAGTGAAACCTTTGGTCAAAGCGGCAAAGCAGCATTTTAGACCGCTGGCTGTGCCAATGGTGTTGGCGATATGCTGGACATTCAACACAGAAGCAAGATGTGCACTGGGGAGTTCATGAGGACCCGAAAGAGGAACACCAGGACGCTTCCAATCTGACCCCGGACTATCCGACCCTTTTGCTTCTTTTGACGTATCTGGTGAAGCTGAAGGAGCAACAGGTGACGAGCCGACGATACCTCCGTCAACAAAGCGTACTTCTTCTTTCACTCGTTCTTCAAACATACCGCCTATCTTGCGTGCTGTATCCGGACTAATCGCATTCAAATCCAGGTAATACAGCACGTATTTTTTCTGTCCTGATGACGCAGCTTGATCTCTGCCCTTTTGCTTCTCTAGGGCAGCAATCACTCTCTCTGCGGTTGCGACAGCATCGCACGGCGGTACAATGCTGAGTAGGTAATCTGCGCTTGTGACTAGCTCTTCGTCTGTTTCTAGCAGCTGGATGCCAATTGATTCGGCTCGGTCTTTTGTTGCAGAGCTGCGTCCACTGATATTTGTGGTGATTGCGTAGTTGTGGGATTTGAGTAGCGAGGCGATACCGAGCCCCATTTGGCCAATTGAGATGATGGCTATGGTGGCGTGGGGCGTCGCCATTTTGATGATGAAGTGCTGGAAGATAGATAGATAGTCAAGATACGTGAGAGGAAGATGGTGGGGTTCATGGTGGGGTTTGATAGAGGATCGATTACTAACGAAGAGGGGTTAGTTAACGTGTTCTACTATCAGTAAGCTGGAAACATCAGTAAGCTGAACGCCCCACCAAACTTGACGCGACGCTCTACATAATTAAGCCACAACGACGTAATAAAATGATAAGGAATTAAGAAATATAATTTATTGTCTAGTTTTACACGAAGTACGAGTATGTCCTTTAACGTGGCACTTCGTGCACGTTGGCGGCGCGCGCTGACGTCGCTCACCAGCCTGGTTCTGGCTACCACCCATAAGTAACCTTTCTGCCTCTGTAGTAAGCTGCTGAGCCTGCTTTACCTAGAGCACTCCACTAGTAGCGATATATTAATGCTGCTAACTCTGCGTTTATCGTTAACACTAATTTTCTATACGTAGCCTCTTATTTTCTTCTGCAAATATTGTCGCTAATTATATTATAATCTGATAGCCTTTAATAACTTAGCGAAGAAGCTGGCTTATTAGACTTTATAATTGCTAATAGAGCTAGTCTTGAAGAAGCTTTGCCTGCTGCTGAAGCTGCGCTACTGTACGGGGTATCTCTACTTACCACACAACGTTATCCTCTATAGTTGTCTATAGCGGAGACGGTGTCTAGACGACAGTTAGCGACGACAGGACACGATCTGGATAAGGAGGGATAAGGTCTACCGCCTGAAAGCCTGCTTAGATGTTCTGCTGCGTAAATATAGTTGGCCGGATCCGTATATAGGTCGTAAGAAAGTCTATCTTATTAATATAGTAGACGCCTTAGCAGGCGAGCTTCTTAATCTTACGCCCGTACGCGCGCTTAAGTAGGGAGAAGTAGCTTATATCTAGAGGCTAGAGTAGATAAGAGGTATGAGGCGGTATGTAGAGAGTAATAATCTTGTTCTCTGCGCAGTACTGGTCGAACTCTAGCGTAGCGTGGCTACTATAGCTGTCTAGAATAAGAAGCTAATAGACTCCTGCTGTACGAGATGCTATATGCTGGTTAAAATGCTTTACCTACGCTACACTAAGCTGATTAGTCGTCTAACTATTATCTGAGACGCCGACAGTCTAGTCTAGTGGGAGATCGCGGTACTAGCTACTCTAGTAGACCTTACTAGGCAAGATTATAAATAGTGGAAGACTCTAGCCAGACGTATTAATGCACTCGATCGCTATTACCTACTCGCGATTGCCTAGCTGTATAATAGCTGCTTGGCCGACTCTATTAGAGCTTATAACTACCTTAGACGTACTAGCGACGCCTATCGCGAACCTAGTCTCGTTAAAGTTGTAGATATCCTAGTCTAATGTTACAAGTAACAAGAAGGATCCTCTCCTTGACAAATGACGAGATGGCTGAAGGCTTATGGACGTCCACGTCAGAAGGTAATGATCATCGCGGGGCCTGGGGTCACGTGATGTGCCATCCCGCCAAGACAAGACATCCCGCCAAGCATGGGATGGCAATGGGATTAGGGATGGCATGCCATCACAGACATCCCGCCAAGGAGCAAGAAAATGGGATGGACGGGATGGCAGGACTGGAAGCAATGAGGATATAAGGATGGATGGATTTCATTATTACTCTCGTTGTGGTCAACTCAAATTGTACTTTCTTACTAGTATCTTTACTTAACAAGATTGTCACAAGTTAGTCTATCAAATAGATTAGTCTTGTCAAACCCTCCTTAAGCACGCCAACTCCACTGCATCGCCAGACAAGCCTCACGGAACACTAACGTAATACTCACCTGCCTTAGTGCGGACCAGGATAGAGAAGTATAGACCTATACCCCGTGTAACATCTAAGACGCCGTACGTCTAGCGCGTCTCCTCTACTAGCTTAAACCAAGCTGCGATTGCGACAGGATCCTTAGAGAGAGCGCGCTAGCTACTAAACTTCCTAGTCTACTTTGTCTAGAGCTCTAGATAAAACGCGATACCTAGCACTTACCTATAGGTTATAGAGGTGGATTTTGGCCACGCGCGGCGAGTAGAGCGTCTGCCATCTATTATACGTTAATGATATAGGGCGGAAAACCGCGTCGGTTAAGGTCTAGAATGTACTGCACAAGAGACTGCTCTTCGATAGCTGATAGCTTACGATTAACAGAGGCTGTTTCTGATCGTGGCTGGATACCGTAGAGGCGCGTATATAGTGTTGACTTTAGCACGTTGTACGCTTTTGTAAGAGCGTAGATAGACTAGTTTGTATTACTACGATAAGATGCGATAGCAAGGCTTATTCTGCCTTCACGAGAAGTCTGAGTAGAGCGTTGTTGTCGCGGCATGGTGGTTGTGGTGTAGAGCGTCGCGTCAAGTTTGGTGGGGCGTTCAGCTTACTGATGTTTCCAGCTTACTGATAGAACACGTTAGTGAGATGTAGGGGGTCTGACCTTGTTGAGGAAGTTGTTTTGACCGACTGCAGTATCTGAGTTACATGCTCTCCAAGTCACTGTCTTGAGTATTTGCTGTGCCTCGATGTATTCCATGTTGTTTGGTGTAAGCTCAATTAGGGCGCCAGCACAGAGAGCAAACACCGCTAGTATCCTATCAACTCATTAGAATATATGCCAACAGTGATGGCATGACATCTCCAGGTTGGTTTGGTGCGACCGAAATGTTTGAATATAGAAAATCGGCAATCAGTAGATGAGATAGCATGTGGAATAGCTGTTTGCATTCGGAGGTCGTTGGTCCACGTCAGCCTGGCACAACAGGTAAATTACAGGTGAAGCTCAAAGTTATAGCGACAAAGTGAGAGAAACGCCATGTTTTCCTATCACGTCAACCACAATTTCCTATCCACCAAATCCAAAACTTACTACAACATCTCTCAACTTGAAACCCCACTTCTTCACACCATCAGTACCACCAGCACACCACCAAGAACATCATGGGTATTCCCCGTTTCGCCTTTATGGCATTGCGCTTGGCGCAGTTCGTCTGCGCAACCGTCGTCCTAGGGCTGTCATCTTACCTTCTCTATCTCGAGCATGAGCATGATATCGGCCCCTTCAGTCGCCTCTTCTACAGCGCCATCATTTCCTCCATATCAGTCATTGCGTCTCTCATCTGGCTCATTTCTAGCACAATTCTCCCCGTCACCCACATCGTAGCCGATCTACTCTTCTGTGGTGCCTGGTTCGCCGTCTTTGGTCTACTGCAAGACTGGTACAAAGACGTCATGTACTGCGGAAGCAAATGGAGCTGGTACGCGATGAGTGCAAGAGAGGGATTATGCGGAAACTGGAATGCCGTTCAGGCTTTCGCTTTTCTAAGTGCAATCTTCTGGTTTGTTAGCTGTATGCTGGGCGTCTTGGCGTGGAAGAAAGATAGCACGGCGCCCGCTGCAACTGGTAGTGCTCCTGCTCCAACGACGACAGGGTAAGGTATCTTGGTTGACACTTGGATTGCGGGAGCTAACATCGTGCAGGAGTAGACGCCGATTTGGCGTTTCACGTGCCTAGATCTATCTCCGATCTTGAGCAAGTTTCTGCCGCCATGGCAGGTTGTCGTCATACCTCAGTGTTGAGGGTGAACCGGGTACACGTGAAGGAATTCACCAGGTCCATAATCTGCCTCGGTTTGCTTTGAGGCTTTCCTGCCGGCTGATTGAGAGGCATTTTCAATTTGTCAGATTGTTATGGTGTCCAGGTGGATGAATTAACCATACGACCTTACAAGGCCTATTGGTGGAGCAAACATAACAGAACATCCACTGCATATATAACGACAACTATCAACTCACAATATAGCAAGGAATGAACAGGAAACAAGGATATTTTCGTTAAGAGAATTCTTGGCATGTCTTCTTTTTTGCCAAGTGTTTGGGTGTTTCACCGGGCCAGCCTAACACCGAGATTTAATTTACATGACCAGCTTCGGCGCTCGGCAGCGGACGGGTACGGATGGGTTTCGGATGGGCGTACGAGAAAAGAACTCTTGAAATGCACCAATGGAGAATTACAGAAGCCAGTAATCCGCACAACTGATACAAGATTGTACAATGTTGACATAGAGACCCTTTACGTTTGAAGCATAAGTAGGGTACGTACGGTAAGCACCGAACTGCACCGACACGCACCTAGAACACTGCCTAATCCGCGTTTCAGAGTGTGGGAATATTAGGGTGGTGTCAGACCGTCAATAAAAACGCCTCAAATACGGCATAACGGCCAAAGAAGAAAAAAACTGCGTCTTCGGCAGTTCCTCAGAATGCCACAGTCATGTATGCCATCATCGGCTCTAAACCGCATGCGTACTAACCAAGGGCGCAAGACACCAATCTGCATTGCATCCCCGGCGTGCACTAATTCCTTCTTCCCCGCACCCGGAATAATACTTACTGTCCAGATCTTGAACGATCTTCCTCGATACGCGATTCCTTCAATATCGAACGCAACTCTCTGGTGGCATTTCTTTTAACCACCGGCCAAGCCTTTGTTTGCCGTGAACAAAGTCTTGACGGATATTAACACTGGAAGCACTACTGCACTTGGCAAACGACATGTCACAATCGCGTGACCTCTCCAATTAAGAAACTCGTGCAGATGACGATGACTGTACGGTATAGCCAGCCAAGTCGTAGATGGTTCAATTCGGAGAAGAACCAATATGCTGTGTTGACCCAACCAGCTGGCAACAACAGAATCAATAGAAACAAAGACCCTTAGCTATACCTACGTGTTTGTCCGCACCCGGACACAAGTTCCCCCGTACAAGAACCCCGTATAATAGCAAGTTGATAATTATTTCGTCATGCACACCCAATTTATGCAACGCCCCATCTCCTCCGATCTTTACCCCATAGAAAGCTCCACGCACGGGCCCGCACACCATGTTTCGACGATACTTACGGACCTATTACTGATTTACCCATCCCTTCTCCACCCGACGAGTCAGTAAGGCCGAAGGGTAAAAACAATAGGGAGGGAGCATGTTTTTGCATGGCTACCTAAAAAGTGGGGTAGTCCTTGACACATTAGACAGACACCAGGCTTTGAAACAAATTAAAACATTTGTTTGGAAGGGGGGAAGTGGGGACAGGTGTAGTGGATACTCGTGTTCATGGATGTTCGATGTAGTTTGGGGAATTTGGACCCATGAAGGGCTTCCAACATGGTGGCGGGGATACGGGTGGATATGGGTAAAAACAAATGAACGGACACTCGCTGTGTGTATATAAAACGTTCTGCTATTCTCTGAACCAGTTGCTTTTGATCATCGACAAGTTCGACTTCGCCTTTCTCTTCTTCTATATACACCACAGGCTTGGTTGCATTTCCTCACATTCTACGAGATGAAGTACTCATTCAGCCTCGTCCTCGCGGCGCTCTCCGTAGGCAGCGTCACAGCCTCGCCTGTTGACCTCGAAGCTCGCGTACGCATACTGCTCTATCTCACAATACGAAGACCACCATTCTAACACTTTACCTCCAGCAAACCGGCAGCACAGATCCCTACATGGACTCCGGCCTCCCAGGCCACACCATCTACCTCCCTGCCGGCAACCCGACCAACGGCAAGTACCCCGTCCTCGTCTGGGGCAACGGCGCCTGCAGCACCGACGGCCGCTCCAACAGCGCTCTGCTCCGTAACATGGCCGCCAACGGCTTCCTCGCCATCTCCGAGGGTGGCCTCAACGGCGGCGGCTCATCCACCGCTCAAACCATGAAGGCAGCCATCGACTGGATCACCAAGACCGCAGGCACAGGCCGCTACGCCAACGTAGACGCAAGCCGCATCATGGCCGCCGGTTTCTCCTGCGGTGGCGTCCAAGCCGCAGACAACATCAATGACCCGCGCGTCGACACAGTCGGAATCATCAGTTCGGGACTTCTGTCCAACACCGATGCCGCGAAGTCGTGGAAGAAGCCCGTTCTCTTTGTTCTTGGTGGAACTGGTGATATCGCGTACCAGAACGTATGTCCTCCCATGCACCCTCCTTTTCCTCCAATAAAAAAAAAGAGATGCTAATTATGATAAAAGGGCGAGCGCGACTACCGCAACCTCCCTGCCGGCACCCCCTCGTGGAAAGGCAACATCCCCGTCGGCCACGGCGGCACCCTTGGCGACGCAAACGGCGGCAAGTTCGGTCGCGCAATCCTTAACTGGGCTAAGTGGACCCTCAAGGGCGACCAGACTGCTGCTCAGTGGTTCAGGAACGGTTACCAGTCTGATGGATGGCAAGTTCAGTCTAAGGATTTGGATAAGCTTAAGCCTGCTACTAAGTAGAGCTCTACGCTTCCCAGCGGGCGAGTGAAAAAATCTCGATGCGGCTGAGTCTTTTCCTTTTTCTCCTTCGCGTTTTCAGGAGAACAAGTAAGAGGGCGCTACATCGCATGGATTGTACATATTCTTTTTTCTCGTCTGTACTTTCCCCCTTCTTTCTCTCGGCTTTCAGGCTGGGAAATCTTCCAAAATTTAGCATGATTATGTGGTTATGCGGTTATGCCTACTGTGTAGAAAGCTACTTCGTGACAATTGTATATATTCTACTTGTCAATATCGTCCCTTGTTTTAGTATCTTGTTGACATTGAACAATCTGTGCATGTTAGAAACAAGTTATCAGCTGGGACTTAACACAGGCTTTCAAAGCTACGACAAGCAGGTACAAGACAAAGGGAATTGAATGACAGAATGATAGCAATGAATTTCAGTGATCGAAATCTCATGCCAAGTAAAAAGGTATAATATTTGTAAAGGGAGAGAAAGAAGAAGGCCCAGAACTACCAAATTACCTCAACACCAACGCTATGCTTAGCTAATCATCGTTCTCTTAGAAAGGAGAAGAAAATTCATTCTTCTGTCGTAAAGTCTGCTCACCAATCTCAGACTCTTCTAGAGTCCCGCGGGCTCGAGCCCCACGCCAACGTTGCGCCCATGTCCCTTCCACTCGCCGACCCTGTTGTGCTTGCGTTACTGAATACCCTCTTGTGTCCTGGCTCCATTGGCGCAGCAGCCCCACCATCACCTATCGTCCTACGTCCATCCATGCTCTGGCCCACAAGCCTGCCGCTGAACTGGTGCCAACAATTTGGCGCCTGGAGAATGTACTTTTCCATGGCGATCCTGAACCTGTTGCGGTAATCGCGGGGTGATGTAATTGTAGGTTTGTTCTTGCCACGGTCCTTGATCCAACTCTCCAACTTCTTGTCCCATGTGTACGTGCGGATGCAGTCAATGATGCCGACAATGATTTCGCGGTTTGTGTCGTCAAAGCCGGCCATGAGCGAGTAGTCCATAACGTTGTTCTGTGAGAGGAATAAGGTATCATTGAAGACACTGGCTTTGAGCAGTTTCTTGGTGTGTTCACGGACGAAGATGGGAGTTTCCGAGTAGATAATGTCTACTAGATTCTCATCGAGAAGAACTTCATCGCGCTCACCAGTAGCTTGGATTTTTCGGTTGCGCATACTACCTTTAAGGTCGTAGCGGCGGTTGGGTTCCCGATCGTAAAAGAGATTCTCCATGACGAGCATGTACCAATCGAAGTCTCGCCCAGTAGGCGTCTTGATCTGGACTTGGAAAAGGCCAAACATCTTCGCGATGACACTAGGCAGAGACTTGAATAGATTCTGATGCGTAAAGGCAAAGTAGTTGGGCCCAAACTTGAAGAAAGCTTGCACCTCTACCGGGGAGAGAGATTTCAACACAAACCGATCGTCAAGGGTTTTCAAGAAGATAGATTTCGACTTTCCACCCTTGGAATCCCACTTGGAGCATCGAGAAAGAGACTCAACGAAACGCTCAGCAACACCGCATTTGCGGCGAAGAGCATCGAATGACTGCGCATAGAAGATTTTGCAGTGTGCCTTCACTCCACGGTTCGTGAAGCTATAGCGAATGTTGTGATTTTCCTCATGGAGTAAGTTACGTTCAACAGACTCCTCAAATGTCTCAATATGGCCACCAAGACCTATGCTCAAATCGCGGAATGACTGTCGTTTAGCCACATAGTCGGGGCATGACAAAGCCAAGGCGATGATGGAACTAGGCTCGTCTTCCCGGATAATGATGTCGGAGTTCTCCCACACATGTTCAATCTGCGAAAACGGGTATTCAAGCGGTGTCCAACCACTAGCCGATCGCTCGGACCAAAAGCTTGTCAGAATCTTGAGCAAAGTGTTCTTCTCGTGCTTGGGTAGTTCTAGCGAATTTTCCAATTGAGAGTCGCTGAGATTCAAGAGCTGAGAACTAGCAAGACTGTCGGGCAATGGGATATCCTCTGGTGTAGTCTCTGTATCACTGACATCGTTGTCAATATCTGGAGGAAAGTGAATGCGAGATTTGGGCGACTCATCGTCTCTTGGCGGAGGTACCAGCAATCCATCTTTGCTATGACGCTCTTCAATGGGTGACTGTGAAGCCGTGGTAGTGTCGTCTGCGTTCTCGGTAAAAGTGCTGGTATCGAGGGTACTATTGTCAAGACTGCCCCTGGAAGGAGATTGCGCAGGTGTCTCTTCGTCGGAATCCTCACTTTCCTGCACAGCGTCGTGCACATTCTTATATACCTCGACAACTGGCTTTGAGGAGGCTAGCGGGAAAGCGCGCACTTGTCTGGCACGATCATTGCGTCGCTCGCGCATGCGTTGGTTCTGGAACTCTCTTGATAGCTGTTCAAAGTGTTGCGCAATCTTTGACACCTTAGTTTGACTCTTGTAAGGAATAGATCTTGGAATACGAGACGAGGACTTGGTCTGCTTAGGAGCCCCCATTCCTAGCCGCTCAGTCATGCGTTCGAAGGCCTTGGAGCTGTCATTGGCAATAGCTTTTGGTGTAGTGGGCCCGTTATTGAAGGCCGACGATCCAGGGAAAAGGCCTATGTGCTTTGCAATGTTGCCCGGCTGAGACTGTGTTCTGACAAGCGATGCTGGTCTTGCAGTAGTTTCACGCTTAGCTAATTCAACCGGACGAGGAATCTTGCTTTCTGTAGCCGGACTAGGAGCAGACTGCAGGGTCGTTGGGCTACTAGGCATATTTTCAATTGCTTCTGCGAGCTGCTTGTCGAGAGGGTTTACTTTGGGCGGACTTGTAGGCGTAGGAGACCCTTCGTCGTATCTGCTAGGGTCGGAAGCAACGATAGGACTATTGTTGAGCTCTTCACTGCCGATGGGACGGCTGTCTGGGAAATTGGATGAAATAGCCAAATCGAGGTGGCGTACATCCTCCCGTTCTATCGCCTCACGCGGCGTCTGAATTCCCAAGTCAGCTGCCGCCTTTGGAGAAGTGGGAGTCTTGCTCTCTGGCGTCGAAGGTGTCTCGTCAGCGGGTGGATCGGAAGTCGAGCCCTCTTCTTTAACAACAGAACTCAGCATATCACGGGCCATTTCTGGCGACATGTTGGATGGCCTAGGAGATAAAGCTATGGGTTCGTCTTTCTCATCCATGTACGAATCGTCTGCGCCAGACTCAGTGCCTTCTTCAACCGATGCCAATGAGCTTGTCGACTCGTCGCGCTCCAGGAACCGCTTCAATTGCATGTTCGCATATCTTCGGATATCCCGCTCAGTCGGAAAGAATTGCTGCTCAAACTCCGTAAAGGTCACATCCCAAGCAATGGCTTTTTCTTGGATAGCACGAATGGCGCGGTTCATAGGGATGATCTCGTAGTACTTTGAGCTCATGTACTTGTCTTGAAGCTTCGCTTTCAACCATTCATGCTCCTCGTTTGCGCGCTTGAGAAGCAGGTCGACCTCTTTCCGACACAAATCAACCTTTTCTGGAATTACGTCTTCAACGTGTATGCCTTGGATGCGAGCACGAAGTGATGCCATGAAGCAGTCCAGCTTCTCCTCAATCATGAGATATTGGCTATTCTTCAATTTTAGGTCGCTATCAACCTTCCAGGTGACATTAGGCTTTGGGGCAATGACTTCGTACATCGGCACAGGGTCGTATTGGATTCGAAGAGCAACATGATTATACCCAAAGTAGCGGACATGATCTTTGTGAATATCGTGTGGGCATATACCTGCCCGGGGGTGCAGTGGCGTGCTCCAAAAGGTCAGTTCGAGGTACTTTGCGAAAGAATATCTCCAGCTCCATTCGGACATGGGGAAAGCCTGGGTTTCCTGACCACATATCCTACAGCAGCTCCACATGAGGATGGTCTGATACATGCCCTTCAGTTTTGGAGGATACTTCTGGACAACCACAGTCATTTGGCCCTCGCCGTGCACGTATTGACGAGAATGGTCAAGCATCCTTCGGTCGCAATTGCCTACTTCGCAGGCGACACCGGCTGAAGTACAGAGGTCCTCCACATACTGTCCAAGCGTACAGTCTGGCGTAAAGCCATCATCGTAATCATGTTCTTGATAGAAGCCGAGAGCGATGATCTCGGGTCCAATACAAGGAGTAGAAGTTATCGTATTGACCACGCTGTACAGGACGGCAATTTTTTGATGATTGAATGGGTCGTAAAGATCGGTATTTCCAGAAAGATATTGCTCCCACTGACGTCTTTGTGTCATATACTGCTGCATAGCTCTGTCATACTCGGATTCATGCACAGCAGACAAAAACTCTCGAACCTGCTTGGACGCCTTTTCAACAACCGTGTGAACCATCTCAGGTTGCACGAGCTCGAATTTCTGACCCACCTCGCCAGCCTTTTCGTCGTCTTCGGGGCCGTCAGCAGTGTACTGATTTTTGAGTTTCTTGAGATGCCCTAATTTCGCTTCGTACTGACGAGCCTGTTCAAGCAGATAGGGCTGCATGAACTTGACAAAAGGCGACGAGGACAGAATCTTTGTCCGGTGATTTTCAACCATATCGCTGTAGTAAGAGGGGGCGGCGTCATTGGACTGATCTTGATCACCCGCCCGTTGAGTTGCAGGATCGACTCCAATGTTCTGTGCTTGTCGGTCGTCTTGCTCAGTGGAAGATGCAAGAGTACCAGTCATAGAAGTTGTAGGTGTATCTATGAACTCGTCTCGCATTAAACAAGTCTCCAGACGAAGGTTGTAGACAACGTAAGTCATGAACTCGGTGATGCGTTTCAACCTCGAAAGTTCTTCACTCTTAGCCCCCCTCAGAACGATTGTGCATCCGAGTTCCTTTTGACATCCAGAAAGAAATATGTATGTTTTCTTCACATTTCGGTGCACATATGTCTTTACGTCGAAGCTGCTGCAGGATCCTAAATGCGATGGGTCTATTGCGAGCTTGTCGACTGATGAAATCATCCTCGAATTCGTGCAGCGAGCAACAGCGTTGAGCACTGTGGGTTTGACATTGTGAACCACGGCTATTCCTTCTTGTTCCAAAAATTCAAGGGCGAGGCCCGACACATTGCGCTGCACCAACAAGACATGGGGCTCGAGAGCCACTATGCGACTGACCAGATTACGAAGGTATTCACGCTCCTGTGCGATGACGGGCTCCAGGCTCATGAAATGTGCTTGATGCCGTGCATATTCGATTGCGAAGGTTATGATCGCAATCCGTGGATTAGGTATGCTACGTGGCATGCTTCGTAGGGCGACGTTCTTGGTAAAAACAACTC